CAAAATATTAAATGGCAAAGAAGCAAAAATTACATGGTAAACAACTATATATAAACGTGAGCTTAAATAAATCTGAATCAAAACTGAACCTTTTGTTGCTCCTTTTGTTGTTCTGCCTCTCTTGTTGTTTTGGGAGGTAATCGAACCTACATCTTCTCTTTGATGATGGGCACTTCAATGTTGGCTTTGTAATTGGAACCTATGGTTGAAGTTCAAATTAATAAATAAATATGCTTCAAATGAAACATAAAATTCAAGTAGACATTAAAGCATAGAAGCATGTGTATGTAGCATACCTTTAAACTAGGGACATCTTCATTATCTTCAATCTCACAGTGAGGTATGTATTCATCATCGTCACTGCTTAAGCCTTCATCTCCAACATTTTCAAGGGACATCATTGAGTTCTTTCAAGTATCATTTGCGCCAAAGTCCCACATTCTATAGCTTTCATATGTTTAACATTTTTTCTCCTTATGTCAAGCCTTTTTTCTCGTATTCCGTCACCTCTATTATTTTGTAGCAGGTTTCTTGCTATTCTTTTTCATCTTTAAATCATAGTACAAGAAACAAGTTAAAACGCTACATGTAATAATATTATACAAAGCCAAATATGAAATAAAGGAAACTTAATACTACCATCAGAGAGTTCCAAAGGAAAGTTACGTATAACATAATGCCAACCACTGTCAGTAGGAGATTCAACAGAAAATATTTGACATACTTGAGATGCCATAATGAATGGTTCTCCATTGCATAATGTTTTATTTTTATTAACCATAGTTAGTTGGTCATCCATCGTTTCCGAATGAAACCAAATACATCTAAACAAGACAACATCAATATAACCGTGATAAGATATCTCAATTATTTCTTCTAGAGACCCATAATACAAGACATTTCCCATGGTTGGATTTTTATCCTTACTACTAACAAAACTATGTGTTAAAGCACTTAGACAAACACCAATGTTCTGCGTGACATGATTTCTCTCTCTTTCCATGGTATAAAACCTATAGCCATTCACAAAGTACCCACTGTACTTTTTAGCCATGAAAAAGAAGGTCCCATAGATAACCATTTCACATGGTCTAGCACTTCTTAGCCTTGGTCAAGCTTGGATGCAATTGTCTCTTTGAAATATTTGTTGTGGTTTTGAGCACTATCCCATTTTCTTTTCCTTTAACCGCCAACTTGTTCCTTGTGCACACTACGATAAAAAATTTAAAAAATGAAAAAAAAAAAAACAAACATGAATAATATGATCTGTTACGTCATTCATAAATAACAAACGACATATGTGAAGTTATCTTACTTAATGTATCTCTCAACTTCCTCTCAATCACAATTGAATAAGACTTATTGATGTGCTTGGCTCCAAGTAGTGTGATCAATCATAAATCCACCTCGTTCTGTCTTTGAGGTCTTCCCTCTACCCTTGATAGGATGACCAAGCTTTGGGAGATATTCTTAAAGGTTGCTAGGTTTATTGGGATGATCATTAGGACCTTTTTATTTCCCTTTAGATTTACTCAAATATCGAACCACAAACCTTGCACATTGACGCCTCTGGACGACCCTTATTACGAGCATCTGACTTTAATTCCTGAAGATACCTCTCAATTGCATACATGCATCTTAATGCAACAGGTCCAACAAGTTTGATTTCTTCCACTAGGTAAACAGGAAAATGGACCATAATGTCAAAAAAAGCCGGTGGAAAAATCCCCTCAAATTGACAAAGAGTTTCGACTATCTCAGAATGAAGATTGTCCAAATCTTGAGGATCGATTGATTTTTTCCATATGCCTTTGAAAAAGTTTGACATCCTAATTATGGGAGTTGCAACATGTTTATTAAGGGTTGTCTTTGCAGCAATAGGAAGCAAATAATGCATCATAAAATGTGCATCGTGGCACTTGTATCCCGTAAATTTCCTTTCATCAACTTGCACACATCGAGAAATATACGAAGCATAACCTTGTGGCAGCTTTGCATTTTTTACGGTTTGGCAAAACAATTATTTTTCATCATCATTCATCCAAAACATAGATGTGGGAAACTCTTCACTTCCATCTTTTAATTATTGAACCTCAAGGCACCCATCAAAGGTCTTTCTCCTCTCGTAGGTACTTCAAATCTCGGCGAGCAGATACATGATATTTTGTTTTTCCAGGAATGGCTAACAATGTCCCAATGACATTAACAAACATATTCTTTTCAATATGCATGAAATCCAAATTATGGAGAAGATCACAATGTTTCCAGTAAGGTAACTTGAAAATATGGATAATTTTCTCCAAGGATTAAGATCATCAACATTTTGTCTCATTTTCTGTTGCTTTTTTTCAGCTTCACTTGGAAAATCATGTAATAGATCCTCGACCTCAACGCCTGTCAAACAAACAGGTTCATTCCTTTCCTCGGTATGCCCATTGAAGTTCCTCTTATTATACCGCCACGGGTGGTCTGAACCAACCATATGCGATGACACATATAGCAATGCTTGCGAATGTATTTCAAGTACACATAATCTATCTCATAATGACAATAAGGGGAATCAAATTTTCCTTTTATCCTCCAACCTGATAACATTGCATAACCCGGAAAATCACTAATAGTACCAATCGAAGCTACATGCATGCCAAACCTTGTATTGGTTGAAGCATCATATGTTTCCATGCCAAACTCCCACAAATCAATGAGATCTTTGACAAGTGGTTGTAAATAGACATCAATGGCATTTCCAAGAGACAAAGGTCCAGGTATAAGTAATGAAAGCATTAAAAAATCAGACTTTGTCACCAACCATGGAGGCAAGTTATAATTGATCAAAATAACAGGCCATGTACTATGCACAATGCTCAATGTGTTAAATGGATTAAAACCATCAGTGGCCAGTACAAGTCTCACATTACGAGGTTCATTGGAAAAGTTAGGATACATTTTGTCAAAATTGATCCAAGCTTGACCATCGGTTGGATGTTGCAAAAGTCCATCCTTTTCTCTCCAATCATTTTCTCGCCCAGTTTTATGCCATGTCATATAACTTGCTGTTTCGAAACACATATACAACCTTTGCAACCTCTTCTTGATTGGAAAGTACCTTAGAACTTTTGATGGAATTCTACGGGTTTTTTTATTAGAATTGTCATCTTCATCATTTTCTTTCGATTTCCACCTTAAGGTTCCACAAACATGACAACTTGTTGCGTTTGCATACTCCGCCCAATAAAACATACAATCATTAGGACAAACATCAATCCTTTTGTAGTCCAAACCCAACAACTTTAACACTTTTTTTGCTTCATGCATAGATGTGGGCAATATTGCATCATCAGGGAGAACTTCCTTGAAAAACTCTAGTAAACCAGCAATTGCAACATCAGACAACTTGTGATCACACTTGTAAATGTAGAGGTGAATTGTGAAGGCAAGTCTAGACATTTTTTTGCAACCTGGATACAATTCTTGTTGGCCTTCTTCTATGAGGTTCAAAAACTTCTTCGCCTCTTCATTTGGCCCTTCTCTCATAAGTATCATGCAACAACTCTTGTATACCATCATTCATTTTTGATGGTTCATCATGTTAAAGGTCCCCTGCTTCTCCTTCTAGGACCATCCTACCTAAATGAAAGGATTTATCGTTTCTTGGAACAAAGCCATTGCAAATAATATGATCTCTTACATCATTTCTACCATACCAATATCGATGATGGCAAGTACAACATGGGCAGCTAATCTGGTTCCCTTGAGACCTTGTAGTAAAGGCTTTCTCAATGTATTCATCTGATCTGTTCCTTGTTCATATACATCACTTCATCTAGGAAATTCCCACCAACCCTTATTTCCCTTATCCATCCCTTAAAAATATAAGAACTATAAGATTTTAGCATCATTATAATAAGAGATAACTGCTTATATTTTTTTTATAGGAAGACTATATTTTGTATGTATAAGTAACAATACCCTTATCCCTCTTGCATAGTAGGTATTCAAGTAATTTGGCTAAGAATTATCCATTCATCTGTTTTTTTTTTTTTTTTTTTTTTTTTTACTTGTATGTAATTTTTTTCTATAGTAATTGTAATCATTAAGGTTTACAACTATTAATTAAAAATAATAACACACAAAAACAAAAACAAAAACAAAAACAAAATTAACAATAAAACCAAATAATTGGAGAACATATCAACAACTAATGAATTTCAATATTTCAACTAATGAACATATCGATAAGAAAAGTAACTATGAGTTTCAAAGTCAATCTGTGTGCACAATTGCATACACGTCATATTTATAAACTACCAAAGCCAATATACAAATGCAAATGAATTAATAAGTTTGAAATTGCTATAAAAAGCACAGAAATTTCTGCAGGCCAAAACTAGCTTGACTATTGAAGATAAACAGGAAAAGAATGATATACCAGCTCATAACAGTTGAAGCATCTAGAGCAATAAAACTTTAGCACAAATTTAACTATGAATTACAAAAGATACAATTCATGAAAACTAATTGAAAAACAAGATTATATCATATGCAAATAAATCTAAAAATTAATTAAATAAACCCATTTAAAATATGATAATTAAGTTGGTATAACAAGTTTCATAATTTAAATAATTGAATACAAAATAAAGTAATAATGGAAATTAGTTTGCAATAACTTAGGGCTTAAGTGAGTTTAAAAAAAATTAAAACCAAAACTTACGATGGAGATTAGAACACGAGCAGTGCCTCTAAGCAGCGGCGGCGGCGTTTGAAAGTGCATGAGATACTCAAGAGGGGGTGAATTGAGTGTATGGAAGTGTTGTAAACTTTTCGTATTTTGATTGAGAGAACAGTAAGAGAACTGTTCTGTACGCAGCGGAATAAATAAAACTCAAGCAATTTAACGAGGTTTGACTTCTAATAAGTCTACGTCCTCCACTTACTCTAACCTCTTTTATTAATCAACTCAGAAGAATAAAGAGATTACACTCAACTACTTTATGCACCTATGCAATGAGCAATTTCCCAGCAACTAACTCTAGTCGCTCCTTAACTACTAACTCTAGCAGTTCAATGAAGTGCTTCCCTGAAACACTTCCCCAACCACTTGACAGAATCAAGTAGTTCAATACAATATCCTTTTCTCTCGTAAAATCAGCCTAAATGCTTAAGTAGAGAGTATTTAAATCTCACAATAGTATTAGGGTTTATGCTTAGATACGAGAGAGAGAGACAGCTTTTCACAGTATATTTTCAAAACTTGATCGCCAAAAAGTTGTTCAATTCGTTTGACATTAATCTCTTAAATAAGCCTTGGTAATATATGGAGAATAATATTCTTGCCTTATATTTTCGTTAAATGCGGAAAATATATTGCTCTGATTTTATTTGATAATCAAATAAATTATCAAATAAAATCAGTTGGATATTATTCTGATATATTCCCTATTTAAAGATCTCTAATATCAACCGAATATACAACTATATCTTTTTTAAAATATTTTTCTCCGAAAGAACAACTTTCCTAAAATAAGCCGTTTCGATGACAACACTCGCAGACTGGTTCCATTCTGTTCCCATACTGGTTTCAGTCATGTAGTGTTTCTATAGTTGTATATGCTAAGGAATCAAGATTCCTTATCATCCACAACTATCTCTTTTCTCTCTTTTGTACCTTTATAAGTTAACACAACCCTTTTACTATTTTTACATCAAGACCTAAATTTATTACAATCTATATAGTCTTCATGCAATTTCTTCAAGATTTCAACTTGCTTTGATTCTTCTTGTCTTGATCCCTTTCAATCATCTTTTGTCAAACCTGTGTTAAAAACACAGAACATCATATAGCAATAATAAGACAACTCAATTAAGAGTTTGTCATCACTCAAAACTCCAATTCAGAGGACTCAACAGCGTTGAGCAAGGGGAAGCGCGGCGGCGTTGAGCAACCCAGCCAGCCAGAACACGAGCAGGTTAGAACACGAGCAACCCACCCAGTCACGAGCAGGTCGAGCGACGGAGCAGCAGACACAAGCAACTTCAGGTAGCAAGCAGGTCGAGAAAGAGAAGACACGAGCAGGTCGACAAAGAGCGATTGAACAGAGGCGATTGAGCGAGAATTTCAATCGAAAATTATTATGGCTCCAGAAAATTCCAATCAAAAATTACCTCCAATCGACTTTCAATATACGTAATTGAGGCATAATTAAGGTATAATTTTGTTGGGGTTTGAAGCAATGAAGAGTTGGGGTTTGAAGCTCGTGAGTTTGGTTTTGTTTGAAGAGAGGGAAAAATGAAAGTGTTAGGGGGAAATGAAATTTAACTTGCGCCCTTGGTTTCTCAAAATAAATTTTTTTGACCTTTCGCAACGGGCTGTAACAGGACTGTTGCTAAAGCCGTTGCAAATAGATTCAACCTTTGCCTAAAGTAATCTATTGCAATGGCTTCAATTGAACCTGTTGCCTTTTCTAATCTATTGCAATGGCTTCAACTGAGCCCATTGCCTTTTCACACTAAAGTCGTTGCAATAATCCCACCCGTTGTTAAAATCGTTGCAATAACCTCAGCTGTTGCCAGAAACCTTTTTATCTAGTAGTTTTAGTTGTTGTACTTGAATATTTTATCTCTCACATATAATACCCAAGTACAACAACTAAATTTGGAACGGGGGAAGTATACTACATATATATGCACTCAAGTTAACCACGGTTTAATTGATTCAATACTTTTAAAATGTTATCATTACAATATCAAATTATATTATGCTTATCTAGCTAGCAAGATACAATTACAAACGAATTTTCCCGCCTTTCAATCTACAAACAAGCTTGTTAGTGATGGTTGGAGAGAGAAATATGCCAACTTTTTAAAAAACTTATTTTCATTCATTTATTTTATTTTATTTTTGAAAAAACAGAGGAAAGAGAGCAAAAGCAAGACTTTTCTTCCTTCGTTTAATTTTTTCCTTCTTTTTTGTTTTTGCCTTATTTTTTTATGCTTAACTTCCCTCTTTTTTTGCTTTGGTCAAAAAGTTTAGAAAATGATATACTTCCTCAGTTTTCTTTTTAGTGACAACAAATGAAATTTCACGCATTTTAAGAAAAAGATTTAGCATTATAAACGAGCAAATTAATCAAAATAATTTTAACACAATGAAGAATGAGATCAATCAAAACTAGTTTTTTATGCACGTTATGTGTGCAATGAATATGGAAAATATAATATATTTGATTTTATTTATATGTACAATAAAATAAAATCAACTTAGAATATTATTCTGATATATACAATATTTAAAGATCTCTAATATCAATCAGATATTCAGCCGTATATTTTTCAAAACATTTTTCTCCGAAAGAAGTTTCCAAAAATAAGCTGTTATCGAAAGCACCAGCAGTTTGGTTCCAGTGTGTTCCCATACTGGTCTCAGACATGCAATGTTTCTATAGTTTGTGCATGCTAAGGAATCGAGATTCCCTATCATCCACAACTATCCTTTATCCTCTCTTTGCATCTTTTATCAGTTCATATATCCCTTTTACCATTATTACATCAAGACCTAAAATTAATACAATTTATACAAAGTCTTTATGTAATTTCTTCAAGACGTTTATCCTCTTCAAATCTTGATTGAGTCTTCGTCTTGTCTAACTTGAATCATCAATTGTCAACCTGTGTTAAGCATCACAGAAACAACATATAGCAATAATAGGTATATTCAAGTAAGAGTTTGTCATCATTCAAAACTCTAATTCATAGAGCTCAACATATACTACTATTCAAATGCATTGTGTGCGTAAAAGGCGTCATTATTACAATGTATAGAGAACGGATTTAATCAAAGTTTACTACCTCCATTTTTCACCCGTAATAATGATTGGTTTACTATGGAAAATAAAGGTTGTCATGGAAATTTTTAGGTAATAAATATTTACATGTGATCAGCGACTTCTTCCAATTTGTTAAAAAAAAATGAAACTTTTGAGAAATTACAACTTTCCTATACTGTTTAGAAAACTCTATTTCCCAGCATGTAACAGTTTTTATTTGCAAGTAGAATCTTTAAATTTCATCAACATCGAAGATCTTGTACATTTAAATGTGAAGTTGTTGGTATTTTGTAATCTTCATCCTTATCTCTGTTCTACTGCACTCCTTTCTTTAAGTTTTTTTCCTGCAATTTAAGACTTCTTAACCCAAGAATCCAAGCTCTGCAAGGGAAGCAATTCAAATGCAGTGTGTGGGTCCAGCGCGTTTACGACAGTACAGCTGTACGTGGTAGTCTCCGGCAGTGATGCTGCGGTTTCAGTGGTGATTTTTTTTATTAAAAAAACGTTTTCACCTCTGAAAACAAACTAGTTAGCATTATTCGGTGTGTGAGACAACTGATTTTGGAGATGTGTTTATGTGTTTAGTTTCGTGAGTAATGAAGAGAATAAGAATGATCAATTGCATTATCTTGGTTGGACAAACAACTTTATATAGGAGAATGTTGAGATCTAATTTTGGTAGAGATCAAATCAAGAAGATAGAAATAGAATCATGCAAAAAGTGTAATTCATGACTCAAATGATTGAGAGGATAACACGCTTTAATCCAATCAGACCAATTAGCTATCCCACTGATTACGGAAATCATAATTACATTGCACTCTCCGCAATATATACAATCTACAAAGCTTATCATAAGCCACTGACTTAGCTACAAACTAGGAGCTAGATACAAAAATATTCTAGGCTATAAATAAGGTAACTGAAATATATACAAAGACCAAAGATATATTATTGACTAATATATCTTAACACACCTCCACAGTCGAAGCAGCAGGTTGTCGGACGCTGAGACTGTCCCTAAAATCATTAAAGAAACCTTGCAGGAAACCCTTTGTGAATATGTCCGCAATCTGATATCTAGACAGCACATGAAGAACACGGACTTCGCCACGAGCAACCTTCTCTCGAACAAAATGGATATCCATTTCAATATGTTTCGTACGTTGATGTTGAACAGGGTTGTCGGACAAATAAATAGCACTGACATTGTCACAATACACAAGAGTAGCCTTTTTAACCGGACAATGTAACTCTAGTAGGAGGTTTCGGAGCCAACATGACTCAGAAACTACATTAGCCACACCACGATACTCTGCCTCAGCACTAGATTTTGACAACGTCGGTTGTCTCTTAGATGACCAAGAAACCAAGTTATCACCCAAAAAAACACAGTAACCAGATGTCGATCGCCTCGTATCAGAACATCCACCCCAATTAATCTTCATCAGTATACGAGACAAGAGTAGAAAAAGAAGAGGGATACAAGTGAAGACCATGGTCTAAAGTACCCTTAACATATCGAATAACCCGCTTAAGAGCTGACATGTGGTCAACCCGCGAATCATGCATATGAAGACACACCTGTTGGACAGCATATGAAATATCCGGCCGTGTGAATGTTAGATATTGCAGAGCCCCTACAAGGCTCCTATACATAGTAGGATCATCAAAAATAGTACTAGAGGTAGCACTAACCTTTGAGTTGGTGTCAACTAGAGTGGGAGACGGCTTACAAGAAGACATACCGGCACGCTCAATTATTTGTTTCGCATACTTTTGCTGTGAAAGGAACATACCACCCTTGCCAAGAAAATAGTTAAGAGGACTCAGATCTTTCATAGCAAACTCTGAACTAAGAAGATCCATTATAGAACGCCGGAGAGTATCTGAAGAAGTTGTGAGAATAATATCATCAACATACAAAAATATGTAAGCCATATTGAACCCTTTCCTGAAAATGAATAAAGAGTTGTCCATTTTACTGTTGGTGAAGCTAATAGACAAAACAAAATCTGCAAAACGCTTATACCAAGCGCGGGGAGCCTACTTAAGCCCATATAAAGACTTACGCAGAAGACAAACATAATCAGGATGAGTACGACCCCTGTAACCCAAAGGTTGATGCATATATACCGTCTCTTGGAGCTCACCATGCAGAAAGACATTTTTGACATCCAATTGATGAATGGACCATGCCTTAGAAAGACAAAGAGTGAGAACAGTGGCTGAGCTGAATTCGGATGGGCCGTAGGGGGTGAAGCCCGATTTGGCTGAGCTTGATCAAGCTGGGCTGTTGGGGATGTGGGCTGCGGTGATAGAGGAGGGGACAGAGTTTGGGCCTGCTGTGCCCCTGGGCTAGACAATTGATGGAGAATGTATGGATTAATTCCATCATCAAGGAAATCATATGCTGTAGAAGGTGGGACATACAATTTTGCGAAAGGGAATTTCGTCTCATCAAAAATAACATGGCGACATATTATGATAATTATGCTAATTTTTTTTAGCACGTGACTTTGAACTGATTGGAAGCATCACATGTTTTACCACTGATTACACGTGGCGGTGGTGTCCACTTGAAAAGTCTAAAACATCCGTCATCCCTTACATACATAATTAATAGAGGTAAATTTTGAATATTTTAAAAAGTCAATCCCCACTTCCCTTATATAATAGAGATACCCCTTAAAATATTACATCATCCTTTGTCGCAAAAATGGAGTATGAAGAATTTCAATTTTGATTTGTGTCAATTTTATGCATTATGTATCAATACAATTTATTTATTTTTGAAAACGTGCATCGCCCGGTATTAATCTAATTAGCAATAAGTCAATAATCATGGGAGATGCTCTAGAAACGCAAGGTAGCGGTAATTAATGTGAAGAAGTACATAAAAACAAAACTTCAAAGGGATCCAAATATGTTTGAAGCCATTTGTCATTATTGTTAATGGTGTAAATGTATAATCCCTTTTATTTTGTCAAAAATTGACCTATCATTCCGACCGCTATACGACAGCTTCGGATGGGGCAGAATCTCTTCTTTGTCAAGTCCCTTTTCTTAATTTCATTGTCAAGTCCCTTTTCTGCTTCACAACTCCATCTCATCTGTATCTTCTTCTTGCTTAATTGTATAATACATCTTTTGTTTGTTTGCTACTTTTCTTTTTGTTAGAAGTTTAGTTGATGTTAATGGCTAAAGGCCCGAAGCTTTTGAGATTTTTTGTACTAGCGTTGTTTTTGCTTGAGTTCGGAGGAATATAATTGTATTGTAATTTTTTCTTTACTAGGAGATGGAGGAAGAAGATCCTTGTGGATAACTATATGAATTGAAATAGACAAATAGTCATTTTAATTCCCAAAATAATGTTGGGAAGTTGTCTAATTCCCAAAATACAACCAATTTTTTTTTAATTCCCAATCTATCGTCCACGTCACCGGTTCAGTGGGAATTATTTTTAAAACCGGTTTATTAGAAAACCGCTATTTTAAATAGCGGTGTACTGATTAAAAACCGCTACTTCAAGTAGCGGTGTTCTTGTTATAAACCGCTACTTCAAGTAGCGGTTTGTATTTACTTATATTTTTTAACAAAATCACTTTCCCTTTCTCCTCTCCTCTCCTCTCCTCTCTCTCCGCCTCTCTTCTCTTTCTCTCTAAACTCTTCTCCTCTCCTCTTTCCTCTTCTCTCTAAACTCCTCTCCTCTTTCCTTCTCTCTCCTCCCTCCTTCTCTCTCCTCCGCCATTCTCGTCATTTCTCTTCTCCTTCTCACTTCTCCTTCTCACACCAACAACAAAACCCACGCCCCTGCGCAACCAACACCACCACCACTACGCAACCTACGCTCCTTGGAGGTGCTGTGTGTCTTCCTTCTCGCCGGCATCGCATGGTTATTCAGGTCAAATTCGACCATGAAACCTCTAGATATAGAGATTTCATGATCGAATTTAGCCGTATTAAACCAAATTCGATGAGAAATTAACATTCAATTTCGGTGTTAAGGTATGTTTTCTTGTTTTTAATTTTCTTTCTCTTTTTTTTTGTTTTTTGTTTGTTAATTTTTGAGTTGTAAGGTTTTCGGCAGTAGTGGTGGTTTTGATTGTTTTTTTTTTTTTGTTAATATTTGGGTGGTTGTTTGGTTAGGGTTGTAGATCTGGGTTTGATTTGGGTATGTTTGGGTGGTAGATTTGGATTTGGGTGGGTTAAGGTGGGGGTACTGGGTTCGGTTAGGGTGGGGGTACTGGGTTGTGGTGGTGGTGGTCAAGATAGACGGTTTTCTGTTTTTTGGATTTTTGCTTTTTTTTTATTTATTTTATTTTATTTTATATTGTGGGTGGTGGTGGAGGGTGGTGGTCAAGGTAGACAGCGTGGGTGGGTACGGTGTTAGGTGGGGTGGCGGTGGGTGGGTACGGTTGGTGGGTGGAGTTGGGGTACGTTGTGGAGGTCTATTTTTTAACAAAATCGCTTTCCCCTTCTCCTTATATTTTACTGATGTTTTTTTAAAAATAATTTACAGCAAAAACCGCTACTTGAAGTAGCGGTTTATATTTTGTAAATCGCTACTTCAAGTAGTGGTGTATGAAATTGAAACCGCTACTTCAAGTAGCGGTTTATACCCAGAACACCGCCACTTCAAGTAGCGGTTTGTTGCTGGACCGATAAAAAAAAAAAAAAATCAGTTTTTTTCCCTTAGCTGACGTGGACGGTAGATTGGGAAGTAAAAAAAGATTGGCTGTATTTTGGGAATTAGACAACTTCCCAACATTATTTAGGGAGATGAACTCTCATGTAACTTACCCAACTTGTAAGATTAAAGGCTTTAAATTGATTGATTTTTTTTAAAAAACAAATCCATAAGTAATCTATTACAAATTATAATATTATAAGTCCCTTCAAAAAAAATTACAATATTATTAGTATATGAATAAGGGAAACCTATTTCCCTTTTACTTTTACTATTGTCTATTGTGCACTTGTAAGTGTTCGGATCCTCTAGATTTCTAAGTGCACTCTACAATATAGAGTTGGGTGATAGTGAGTGTATGTGTTTTTTTGTTTTTAACTTTTTAAAATTATTGTGCATTAATGTTAGCCACTGATCTTTTTTTTAATGATCTAGATTTGTTGAAATCTAGATAGTAGAGTTCATATCAATTATCAAATCCTGAGTATTCAAACCCCACTTGTACATATATATTTGGACGATTTGCCAAAGTGAGTTTAATTACAAAACTATTTTGTAAAATAGAAGCGTGAGCAAACTATTTACCAAACTAAGCTTTTGGGATAGTCAGCATTTTACCTCTGATTTTTTTTTTTTTAAAAAAAAAACAAAGTGTAAAACGCTGATTTGTTTGACTTTTTTTTTAAATTTCGTAATTTCTAATTTTTTTTAAAAAAAAAAAAAATTCAAATACACTAAAAACACTGACTGAGTCAGCGTTTTTAGTTTTTTTGTTTTTTTATTTTTTTTTAATTTTTGTAATTTCTGATTTAAAAACAAAAAAAAATAAATTAATACACTAAAAACGCCAACCGAGTCAGCGTTTTTAGGGTATCTGTTTTTTTTTTAAAATTTTTTTTTGTATCGATTCCATTCTCATCTTTCACAGGGTTAGCCTTGCATCTGCCTCAATACACTACGCAGCTCCTCTCGTAGTTATGAACATGTCCACAACCTATATTACACTTTATAGGTCAGCATTTATTCAACTGTAATTAAAACTTTAATTTGATTGATGTAAAATATTTACCAAAAAAAATTAGAACCTCATTTTTGAGTAGCAGTGGCTCCAAATGTTTAGCGTAGTTGCCATCAACACTGAAGAACGATAGAAAATCGGAACTATACATCGGTCTGTGCCTGAAACATTCAATTTCAAACTACTGTAATATTCAAGGTAAGGGATGGAAAACCATGTAGGGGATTCAGGCTTGAACACAAACTTCGTTCTTGCATGAAACTCACTATTACTAATTTCTTGATACTTGAACATACAGTTGAAATGCATGAATGTGGCATAAATTTGACATCTTTGCTTTTTAGTTAAAATAAGATATGGAAAGCTTGTGTGCAAAACTCATACAGAATATATCAATTCTCGCAGGATATTCTTCCATTATACATGCATGACCATGAATAACCCCATTCAGGGAAAGGGGTTGGGTGGTTATGGGGGAAGGGAGATGCGGCAGGGGGATAGTTGGGTGGTTACCATTTTATTTTTTTTTTAATCAAAAATTAAGAATTTAAAAAAAAAAAAAAAAAAAGTTACAGTAAAAACGCTAACTGAGTCAGTGTTTTTAGTGTAATTTTTTTTTTAAAAAAATCAAAAATTAAGAATTTTAAAAAAAAAATTTACACTAAAATCGCTAACTGAGTCAGCGTTTTTAGTGTAATTTTTTTTAATTTTAAAATCAGAAATTACGAAAAAAAAGACAGTGTTTTACCCTGGAAACTTAGTTTGGTAAATAGTTTGGCCACGCGTCTTTTTTGGTAATTAGTTTGTGAAATTGACTTAGTTTGGAAAATTGTCCTATATATTTATGTGACTATGTTATTATAATGTGACACTAAGTGTTTGTTCTATTCACCTTTTCCGAACTTATCAGAACTTTTCTGAACTTATTTTAGCTTATTTTGTGTGAGAGAAAAAAAATAAGTTTATTCTTTTTAACTTATTTTTTCTTAAAATAATTGAAAATAAGTTGAATTACATAACAAACCCTAATATATATTCCAAATTAACTAAATTTAACTATTGAACTCAAATAACAAAAATTTGTTTCTATTACTGGGTGCAAATGAAGCACAAAAAAGGATACAAATTACAATGAGAAAGATAGTCAGGATACAAACATGTGACCTATTGTAGGTCATGCCTTTAGGCTTTGTTTCTTTAGATTGAATCGAACCAAACTGAACTAAATGGAACTGAATTAAATTGAACGGAACTAAAGTGAACTGAATTGAAATGAATTGTTTATGACAGAAGGAAATTAAGGAACTGAACTGAAGTACCATAGAATTAAGTCCAAAGAAATAGGGCCTTAGTCCTTACTAGAGATGAAAACGGGAATTATGGGACCAGATCTGACACAGAGCGACTTGTTCAGACCTGACCTATTATACCCAATGAGTCCATAAATGCCAGGTTCAGACCCGGCCTATACCCGACTTGTGTACCGATTTAAATTAAAAATAGTAAGTAATAAAATATTTGTCCTAAAACCCTACTACTTTTAGCCGTTTTGAATTTTCATTCGTTTTTCTATTATTCTTCTATCTTCAACTCCTTATTTATTGTGTTTAAGTCGCAAATTTGTGATTAGTTGTGACATCATTTGGACTTGTAATGTTTGAAGTTGTAACATTTTAAGGTTTTATGAGTTATTTTTGTTAAGTTTGTTTAGACAATGTTTAACTTATGGCCACACTAACGTTTAAATTTGCCCAAAAAAAAAAAAAAAAAAAACTAGCGTTTAAAATAAGGCGAAAAAATATATTAGATTAAAAAATGCAATAAAACTCAATATTAAGAAAGATTCATCATTACCTCTCAAAAAAAAAAAAAAAAAAAGATTCATCATTAAAACCCATGTAAGGACTAGACCCAAACGCAACTCATTGCCATCTCTACTCCCTATTGTTTGATTAAGACTTCATCGGTTCAATTATTCATGAAATGTCACAACATAAACGATTTTTATTTTGGTTCATCATTTTCGATGTTGGGTCATTTTATTTTTAACGGGACTTAAAAAACGAAGGCATATAAGTCCTACAAGTCTTTCATTTGCTCTATGTTTTACAAGATTATTGCAAAAAAACAATAAAAAAAACAGCCAAGCTAAAAATTAGTTTGGGAATGATTATTCATTCTTTACAAGGGGCTTTCACCCCAATAGACTTCTTCAAGATAACATTCTTAATGCACATGAGATTTTCAACTCATTTAAAAAAATAAAACAGGTAGCTTTGGCCTAGGTGGATTGCAATCAAGCTGGATATGGAATGAAAAAGCTTCTGATAGATTATTAGAATGGAATTTTAACTTTGAAACCCTTCGTCATTTAGGATTTTGCCCCCAATGAATTAATTGGATTAAAAAATGTATAGTATTACTACAGTTTCCTTCTTTGCGCTAGTCAATGGTTGTCCTACTTGTCCAACATTTCAAATTTTCCCTTCAAGGGGCATTATAGACAAGGAGAATAATCTTCTATCTCCATATCTTTTCGTACTGTGTGTAGAGAACTTATGGTTAGAAAAATTCAATTTGAAGGGGCGGGTAGAACAAAGTTGCTTGGTGTTAGCCTTGGGCATTCTAAAATGAGCATCCCCTTTCTCACTTTTGCCGATGTTACTAGGAAATGTCAGGTCAACTAGTCATTCTTTCACAAGTCTGGTTTTCAATGCACTTCGAATAGTCCAATGTTAGCCCTAGTGACATTCGTTCTTTTAACATTATTCTTTGAATGAACAATACAAAGGATCTTGTTTCATATTTGGAATGTCCGATCCAATAAAAGATAAACGTGTCAATATGCACTCTATCCCTATTTCTTTGGACTGAATCGGACTTGACCTGACCTGAATTGAACTGAATCGAATGAAACTGAACTAAACTGAAATAAATTGTTTATAAGAGAAGAAAATTACGAATTGAACTGAAATACCATAGAATGAAGTCCAAAGAAACAGGGCATTTCCCCAACTCTTAACCACTACCCTAAAACCTAGTGGATAGTTTGTAGACCGACATGTTGTGGAGTATAGATTAGTATCTTTCGAGTATTGTGATCCATGCATGCCTTGAGCCAGATTTGGACTTTGCAGTAGCTGCTTTTCCAAAGCAAAGCTACTGTAAACTGTATAAGGTAAAACATTGAGAACCAAACGTTAAAATAATCGCAAAGTAATGAGGGTCCCTAGAAATAGTCAACTAGATTATGAGTAGTTACTTTTGATGAACTCGCGCCCTCCCAAGTTACTGTCGGTACCCATGCAATTCTAACGTTGCTTTTAACGCCTCTCGTTCCACAGTTTCCATTCTAATCGCAAGATATAATCGTTTCGTAACGCTTTATGTTTAACATTTTTATTATTCTTTTGTTAAGAGAAAAACATGCTAAGGGTGATGATGAAAATAAATTTCAGGATCTTCTGAAATTGGAAGGGAAGTTTTCATCAACTGAGATATTCATCACTCTCTCAGCATTTTTAAGTATTACTGTAAAAGAATAATATTAACAATTTCGTGACGTTTCAGAAAGAGTGATGGATAAGATAGCTTAGTTGGTTAAAGTTAATTACCCTCTCAATTCTAGGAAATTATGACAGATTCTCATTTTCGCCCTTGTGGCTCTCTAAACGCCAAAAAAAAAAAACAATTTCCTAACTTTTCATATTTAGTATGACCATGACTTTAAAACTTACTAGTGTCACATGACGCTCGCACATGTGCTACATACAACTTTGTCATTTTATTATAGATTAATGTTATCAATAGTTAATGTTTTATGTTCCTTAAAATTTGTATTTTAAACATTAGGGCTGCATATAATTTAGCTTTTGGTTTAAATATAATAGTATCATGTACTCTGTACAACATTTTAAAATTATTACATGTATCACGTCCATATAAAACTACTAAGTTTATAACCATCCAAACTAACGGCTTAAATAATTGACTAAGTTGGAGATGGTCTTTACTCTTACGCCTCTTAATATTTGGACATGCCAAATGGTTTTTTTAATACTACGAGGCCTGTTAGAATTTTTTCTATTTCAAGGCTCAATCCCGAAACTTTGGTATGCCATTTTTGAGACCCTTAACCACTCAAACCAACATTAATTACTATGCCAAAATAAAGAAAAGAAAAGGAGATACTTTATACTAATGAAAGACACGTAATTAAAAAGAAAAGGGAAAAAGTTACGATGTTGACAACTAAACCAACAAGCCCTCGAACCTTCACAACTTTGAGGAGAGAGATAACCTGTTTCTGTTTGTCTGCCTTTCTTCTTCCTCCTCCTCCTTCTTCCTTTTTCTTTTAATTCACATTCTTCTTCATTTTAAATTTAATTGCTCTCTTCAATTCCCAATCTTTATATTTCCTACAATTCAAATTCATAAGAAGAGAGGAAAATCTCATTTCAAATCATATCATATCACATCAAATCCCCCAATTATAATTGATTATTTTAAAATTCACCCATTTTAACAGGTATTATTTTATTTTATTTCTGAAAGCAGTATTTTTTTTATTTGTCTCTAATTTCTTTCTGATTTAATGCCTGCATTATTATTGTTGTTGTTGATTGATTTTTGTTATATGAATAATTCCTATTCAATTGTACATTTTAGAGATAATTTGATTGATACTGGTATGTGATTGAGTAAGTATGAGGCTAAAATATGATGAATGTTTGATGAAGATTTTACGACTTACCACTATTTCATTCTCATCTCAATTTTTTATTTGGGGCATAAATTTGGGATTTTTAATGGAATCTCGAGCTTTATACATTCCTACATTGTTCTTATTATCCAAAATAAAGCGTTTACGAATTTCATTTCATTTATGAAGTTATTGTATGTGTTATTCTGCTAATTTTTTGTTATTGTAATTTGTAAATTGCTGCATTTTATCATAGAGGATTATTGGCAATTAGAAATGAAGATTATTGGCAATTAAAAATGAAGATTATTTAGAAAGGAATCAGCTTCTTGTATGGTAGATCTATCTGCTATTGAAATTGTAGATAAATTAGTTTTTCTATTTCTTTATTTGTCAAATGGTTTAGAGTGCCAATCACTGTGTTATTAGTTCTGTAATTGGTATGCATTTGTTTTATCATGTGTGTCTTAAGTACCTTTTGATTATATTGCCTCATAATAATGTTTAATTGATCACTCTTTTTGTTTTTGTGTGTAATGCAGACCATTTTGTGGTGTTAGTATCATCATATTGGGTATGGATTTGTAGAGCTTTTTCGTCTTCTCCAATTTTATTCGAAAGATAATGTCAGGTATCTTTCTTGTCAATTCTTGTTTGTGTGTATTGTACTATTGTTAACTTATGATATAAAGCTCATAGAATGAGAAATCAATGTCACGTAATTTTATTATTCATACTAAGAATCATACTTATGGAGTAAAATGCTATACCCCAGTATATACGATGTTACTCGGACTTTTCACTTTACCTCAAGTGACACTCGTACATGGGCAGGATACTTATAAATTTCATTTTGGACATCGTCATGGAAAATATTCACGGAATAGTCTAGTCTGACACTTGGAAACATACTTGTGTAGTTATGTGGGATATGGGTATCTTGAGTTTGAGTAGCGTAGAGTATACGTGTGTAGATAATTTTTGCTTTGTTATTGCCGATTGTATTCAGCTAGCTTACACGGTATAATCTGATTACCTTATTTGAAGGTTTTGAGGAGTGCGGGATTGCTGATGAAAACTCAGGGAACGTTGATGACTTTGATGATGAGAGAAGACGGTCCAAAATTGGAGTTTTTAAAAAGAAGGCAATCAATGCCTCAAACAAGATTACTCATTCACTCAAGAAAAGAGGAAAAAGGAAGGTTGATTTTAGGCTTCCTTCTATATCAATTGAAGACGTAAGAGATGCCAATGAGGAATGTGAGGTCTTTAAGTTGCGTCAAAATCTCCTTGATCGGAATTTATTGCCTACAAGGCATGATGACTACTATACTTTACTTAGGTCAGTCCTTCGCTCTTGCTGTGATCTTATTCTGGATTTCTTTTTCACTCTATTTTTCTTTAACTGTCATAATTGAAAAAAATATGCATATACTGAAGTGCTAAAATTGTTTAACAAAGATAGGGACCGTGACAGAGTGCAAGGCAGCCGTGCCAATACCAATTTGTTAATGGTTTAATTTGGGAAAAATAATGACGCTAGTGTCAGTTCAAAATAAGGGAACCTTTATATATATATATATATATAATTACAGGAACTATGATTTATAATAATGGGATGTTTTCTCTACTTATCCATTTATGGCACTCTGCTTTAGAGCTGTCTTCAGGACAATATTATCGGAATAATGTAGTCTGTTGTTTCAGACATTTTTTTTACAAGCTATTTTCTGCAGGTTCTTGAAGGCTAGGGAGTTTAACATTGATAAGACGGTGTTGATGTGGGAAGAAATGCTTAGATGGAGAAAAGAATTTGGAACAGACACAATATTAGAGGTAACAAACTAATAATTATCTCCTTCTACCTTCCATGCCCTATACCTCTTCCCCCAAAATCCAGCTTTCTAATCTTCTAGAATAGGGCTGTGCTCTTCCTCTTTTTTTCAACATTCTTTTGTTTTCCATTTTGCAGCCTTATCTTAAGATATGTGTTATGATTCCCCTGTTGGGAATTTTAGTTCAAGAATGAAGGAGTCATGTAGAGTGGTAGTTGTAGACTCTGTAATGTGTAGTTGCTGAATGTAGAATTTATTTTAAATTTGAGTCTTATCACAAAGTTCTCTGTTATGTAACTGCTTTTCTAGTTATGAACTTATGACATCTGACTCTAAGATCTGCTGATGTAGAGTTTCCAATATGAGGAGGTTGAAGAAGTCATCCAGTATTACCCCCAGGGATACCATGGAGTTGACAAGGAAGGGAGGCCAATTTACATAGAGAGACTGGGGAAAGCCCACCCTAGTAAGCTCATGCAGATCACTACTATCGATCGGTACTTGAAGTACCATGTCCAAGAATTCGAGAGGGCTTTGCAGGAGAAATTTCCTGCATGCTCTATTGCAGCGAAGAGAAGAATTTACTATACAACAACAATCTTGGACGTGCAAGGATTGGTATGTGTTTCATTATTAGATATTTTATAACTTTGAAAAAATCGAATTGGCTGCTTTCATTACGTTACATGACAATAAGTGATTCAAGGATAAAGAATTAAGTTATAAACAACTCTCCCTTGGTTCCTTATCTTTGTTCGTAAGAGATATATGAGAGTCCATCGTATAGTCTTAGTCTCTTCATCAATACAATTGAATATCCTTTAGCTTCTCAAAACAATTAGCTAGTAAGATCTATAGATGATCATCATGTTGAGCAGAATGATCCGTAAAATTGTGACTAATATATACTTAAGCCTTCTGTGGCAATGTCATGGGATTACTGGTGGATTGTTGAACTTTATATGTGACAATGTTGGCCTGAGTTTGAGACTCTGAGATGCAAGCTACTTGTGAGGATTAATTTGGCCGTAAACAAGGGACAAGCATGATCTAAATATAAATTAGAAAGGTTATAAAATGGGGGTGTAAAGGTTGATGTTATGTAATTGCTAAAATCAATATCTGATGCCTTGATGGTGACTTTCGTTTTATGAATGTTGGTGCTTTCTGTCTGGCTACATTTTTTGTTAGATTAGGTGCTAGAATTCTTCCATTATGCAGTACTAGCTCTTATGTGCATGTGATGTGTGCTTACCCTATGTAAATTGTATTTCATTAAAAATAATTATGTAGTATGTACTCCTTATTAGATCAAAATGTTGAAGAAAATTTTGGTATTATTAATTTATAGCTAATTAGTAATGCAATTTTTTTTTAATTGTAATTACTTTGTAAATAACTATGACTTGGATTCAAAATATTTTTCACATATGTTTTTATCCATCTTGTAATGTTTATTAATTTAAGTTTTTGACTCACCTTTTCTTTTTAATAAATGCAATCTCCATTTTTAATTGAATAAGAGAAGGGATAATTTAGGCACATCAAAGAATAACTTTTTTAATTCATTAAAAAAAAAAAAATGTCATTTTAAGTGCACACCATCTTTATCTTCCTTCCCTTATATAATAGAGATTAAGTGAGGTGGTTGTATTTGCTGTGCAAAACTATTTATCGAGTTTTATGTTTTAAGAGGGTGTATTGACACTTCGACAGGAATATTCCTGACAACTTTGATTGCTAATAATGCCTTTTCTTATGAACTAGGGGATAAAAAACTTTTCTAGGACTGCAGCCAACCTTCTTAATGCAATGTCTAAGATAGACAGCAACTACTATCCAGAGGTATGTCTTTCCTTTTATTGTTCTTTTTCCCTTTTTTTTGGATTATATCTTTACTTCTCTTTGTTTTAGTTTCTCTTAAGTCTTCCTATATATGAATATGCAGACGCTACACAGAATGTACATTGTTAATGCCGGTTCTGGCTTCATAAAAATGTTGTGGCCTGCTGCACAGAAGTTTCTGGATACAAGAACAATTGCTAAGATACAGGTGAGGTTTTAGTCTGTATTGTATATTATCTTCTAAACTTCAAACATTGTAACTTTGGCACTTAATTCCTTAAACAATATATTTTACTTGCACTATCTCCATTGTCACAAGATAGGTAGGAATGTAAGATAAGAAGTAGAGTGAAAAAAGGGGATGATTGAGGGACACCTTTTTAGAGGGAAAGTTTATCTCAAAGAGAATGAGTTATAAGTGTTTTGGCAGATGCCAAGAAGTAATATGGTCCAAGTATTACGTGATGAATGGAGTGTTTTTTTTTTTTTTTTTCATAAAAAACTCTCTAGAGTCTAAACTCTCTCTAGTGTCATTTCATTAAAACATGCAGAGACTTAAAGGTAGTGATTAACAATAGTGGTTGAATTTAGCAAGGTTTGATCATATATTTTAAATGTGGTGTATTACTTTGTGTCTAAGAGTGGTGATTCTGGGTAGATTAATTAATATTTTTTTTCCCCTATCTATACAGGTTTTGGATTCAAAGTCACTCCCAAAACTATTGGAAGTTATTGATTCAAGGTTTTGGCTGTATGCTTATAAAGGTGTAACTATATGTTTCGCTAAGCTTCTAACTCTCTATCCTTCTGTTTCCAGCCAGCTACCTGACTTTTTGGGTGGCTCATGTGCTTGCTCTGGCCATGGTGGTTGCCTAAGGTCCAATAAAGGCCCCTGGAGTGATCCAGAAATAATGAAAGTATGCATCGATTCTCTTTTCTTTGATCTTTATGTTGCTTCTGTGATCATAGCCCCTTATAGATTTGCTAAAATTATAATGTGACTTTATTTTCTCTTCTTTTCAGCTTGTGCATAATGCAGAATCAACCCTTGTGAAGCAAATCACTAAAGTGTCACATGACCAGAAATTTGATTATTATGTTCAAGTGATACCGCTGAAGGCATGTCCAATGCTCTATTAATGTACCGCATAATGTTCATCTATGCGCTGTGGTAAAACTCACAAGGTGTTTTTCTTCTTTCATTTGTTGCAGGGAAAGAATGGCTGTAAAGCGGCAGCTGAATTAGTTTCTGACACTGATGATTGTAGCTGTCATCCTGAACGAAGGAGCTCGGCCTTTTCCCATCAATCACCAGGTCATGGAGAAGTATGTTCTCTGACTTTATTTATGTTTATAGTTTTTTGATCGTATGATATATCTCCCATGCGTAATATGTGTCAACGTGTATTTTTCAATATGGGACTTTTTCTTTTCGATTTGTGTTTGTGTGTGGGGGGCAATTATATGGGATCTGAAATCGGTTGCTTGTGAATAATATATGTGTTATGCCCTGAATCTTGTAGTTTTTAACTCAAGTTTACAGTACGCAGACAGAATTGGCCGAATCAAATGTTTACTACTGTCGAGATGACCATTTTTCTGCAGCTGCTAATGTAGTAGAAGGTGATGGATTGAGAAAGCCTTTAAATTCTTCTTGTACGAGTGGTAATGGAAGTTCAGTTACAAATGAGCCTGATTTTGGAGGTATTGGTCAAGAAATTATGTTCTGTATGATATCGATTACTGGTGTTTACCATATTTTAACTGGGTTTACTATCAATTGTTGTGTCATTAATTTGGCATATCATTTTGTCTTATTTTTGTAACTGACCTATCTAAGGAATAGTCGCATTTTGCAGGTACTTCCTTCATATATCGGCTCTGCAGATTCAGAGTTAGAGCTGAAAACTTGAACATTCGATCCCTCACAAATTTTCTGATATCTTTGCTTGTGAGAATCGCTTCTTTATTCCGGCTAGTGCCTTTTTGGCTTTGGCCTTGGAGATGTCAGAATCTTCTATCTAATGTAGCTGACCACAAAGAGAAAAACCATCATGCACAAATAATTGAAGTTGAGAACGGACAAAACAGTGTACACCCTTGTCTAGAACGTCTTCAACGAATAGAGAAATTGTGTGAAGAGCTTAGTGATAGACCAGTGACTTTCCCACCAGAAAGGGAGCAGTTGCTTCAAGAATCTATACGAAGGATCAAGAGTGTTGAGTGTGACCTTGAGAAAACAAAGAGAGTAAGCAACTAAGCAATGATATACTATATTGATATTCTGAAGAACTGACATTTTTAAGTAATATAATATTTTGTTTTGATAATATTTGTATACTATAGGTGTTGCATGCTACTGTGAGGAAGCAAGTTGAGATATCTGAATTTCTGGAAACCCTACAGCTGTCCACATGCCATCATGTAAGTTATAGGTGTTTTTTAAAATTTCTGCTTAATATCAATCGTTTTTGATACTATTTCCCCCCTCCTCTCATCTACTTGGTAATTTAGAGTTATTGCTGAAGTATTATCTAACTCTGTAGTTTTATCAATCAATCAAAGCCTTAGTCACATAATTGGGGTCGGCTACATGAACCAAAATTGATCATTTCGTGTGGGGAAAAATTGGTAATAACTACCTAATATGTTCCAAAATTTTAAAATAACTACCTATTATGTTTTTTTTTTTTATTTTTTTTATTTTTATTTTTAATGTAACTACCTATTATGTTCCAAAATTTTAAAATTACTACCTTATAAGGCCCTAATATTTTAAAATCACTACCACTGAACGAATTGTTTAACAACTTTGTTAAGTGGGACCCACTTAACACTTCAACCACCTTAAGACCACCTACGACCACCCTTAGATTTCGACAAGAACACTACACACTCGAGAACCCACCTCGACACCTCCCAATCAAGCACCAAATCGACCCTAATCATCCCTTCCACCTCGAATCATGAACCTCAAATGGGTTTTTGGGGTGTGGTGGTGGTTCAAGGGGTTGCTGCAGTGGTTCACGGGGCCCTTTTAATGGATTTGTTATATAATTCATTTAGTGGTAGTGATTTTTAAATTTTGGAACATATTAGGTAGTTAAATGCAAAAAAAAAACTTAAATAGGTAGTTATTTTAAAATTTTGGAACATATTAGGTAGTTATTACCAATTTTTCCTTTCGTGTGGTCATTCTGTAATTTTATGTATATGTATATTTCCTGGTTTTCATTCTAGAATGTGCAATGCAGCGATGCCTATGTGTTAGAATCCAACCTCTTTGTTATGTATTCTTCTTTATTTTCCTTATATTTTCCTTATGTAATGTCTCTTTAGTCTTTCTTTTTATTTTTCTAGACCCTAGGGAGAATTATTGTGTTACTGTCATTTCAACGTTCACTTGTAATTCTCTACTAATGCAATATAAAGCTCTTTAGGGAGCGAATGGTTATTCAATCAAAGCTCTCTACCTCGTTGTTATTGCTTTAAGACTTGTGTGTTGTTTAAGCCTTTATAGATATTGTGCTTGCCTTGTTTTAAAGCATCCCCCACCAAACCAAGAGACCCTAGAGACGTCCTCATTTTCGTCGGTTCCGCTTGTGCCCGCTTCGAAGTATCGGCCGTCACAAGCCCCGACTCCGCACTCGTTGTTCTCGTGTGCCCTCTTGAGACACCGTAGGTCCGTGTTGCTGTGTGCTCACGAACCTCCTTGCTTTAGGCTTGCGCCCTTGTCGCCAAAAGACGAGAGCGCGCCGCACGATCTGGTGTTGAATCACTCGGACCGTGACAGTTTGGTATCAGAGCAGGGTTTGCCGTAGAGATGGCAAAAGAAGGAGAGATGCATGAATACACATTCGAGGAAAGACTTGCTTGGCTTGAAGGCAAGTCCGAACAGTGGGCTATGCTTGAAGAAAGGCTGCCCAAACTCGAGGATATTGTAATAAAACAAGCCGACCAAATAGAGAGGCTTGCCGCTACTGTGGATGGGTTAACGGAGCAACTTAACTTCGTGCAAGGCGTCGCTGATGAAGCACAAGATAAATGTGCAACCTTAATGCATGCCCAGAGAGGGCTCGGGGGAAGTGGAGGTGCCAAGATAAAACCTCCCAAGCCCCGGACCTTCAATGGCACGAGAGATTCAAAAGAAGTCGATAATTTCATTTTCGACATGGAGCAATACTTTCGGGTCTGTCAGTTGGAGAATGAGTTAAAAGTTGATACCGCCACTATGTATTTGGTGGATGATGCAAAGCTTTGGTGGCGCACCAAGTACACCGACATCCAAGCTAAGAGGACGTCGGTGGATACTTAGGAGGATCTGAAGAAAGAGCTGATGGCCCAATTTTATCCCGAGAATACCGAGTTTGTTGCTCGCACCAAGCTCGCTGCTTTGCAGCATAAGGGTTCCATCCGGGAGTATGTCAAAGAGTTTTCAGCGTGCATGTTGGAGATCCACAACATGTCCGAGGAAGATCGCCTATTCAACTTTGTGCGTGGTCTTAAGGAATGGGCCCAAAGAGAAATTTGGCGCCAAAAGATTGATACTTTATCGGGAGCCATCGCTGCAGCCGAAAGGTTGATGGACTACTCCTCAGAGAAAGGACAAGGTTTGAAGAAAGGGAATAGCGGGCCGACACCGAACCCTCCTAGGAACTCCGGACATGGCTCGCAAGTGAGCTCCAACAACTCGAACAATAGATACAATAGGAGTGGGGGAGAAGACTCTCGGAAGAGTGGAGCTTCTTCCTTCTCTAGTAGAGGAAGCACCCCTAGTTCATCTTCGGCAGCCAGGCCATTGACGTGTATCCTTTGCAGAGGACCGCACAAGTGGTTTGAATGTCGACACAAGGGAGAAATTGACAATCTCCAAAAGAAACTGTCCTCCATGTCCTTAGAAAACCCCGAGGGTGAAGAAGCCGATGAGGTAGAACCTAGTGAAGGAGAACATTCCAGACTGGGGGCCATTCGCATGATGTGCGCTATGGGAAGAGAAGGCTCTGAGGGCCAACCCAAAAACTCTGGATTGATGTATGTGAATGCGTTGGTAAACGGAAAGGAAACTCGTGCCATGGTGGATACCGGTGCTACCCACAACTTCATTTCAGAAAAGGAGGCAAAAAGACTTGGGTTGAAGCTCCTACCAGAAGGAGGCAGTATGAAAGCGGTGAATTCAGTTGCCAAACCGATCCACGGCGTTGCCAAGAAAGTAACAATGAAGCTGGGAGATTGGAGCGGACAGGTGGACTTTACTGTTGCGCCAATGGACGACTTCAGCTTGGTGCTCGGCATGGACTTCTTACACTTTAGTAAGGCAGTCCCGATGCCGCATCTTAGATCTATTCTGGTGCCCGGGCAGCAACCATGTCTCCTCCGAACCTGCGAATCGGGAAAAGGGTCGAAAGGGCCCCTCCTTTCAGCAATGCAATTGGAGAAGGGGTTGAAGAGGAACGAGCCCACGTTCCTAGCAACACTTTCCACGAAGGAAGATGAAGCAAGTGGAGACTTTCCGCCTGCAGTTGCCGAGCTACTATCAGAGTTCCAGGATCTCCTCCCGAAAGACCTACCAAAAGTTCTCCCACCTAGAAGGACAGTGGACCATGAGATTGAGCTGGTTCCAGGGGCGAAACCCCCAGCACGAAGCCCTTATCGCATGGCTCCCCCAGAACTGGCTGAACTCCGGAAACAATTGGAGGACTTGCTTGAGGCAGGCTTCATCCGCCCATCAAAGGCTCCTTATGGGGCTCCTGTGCTTTTTCAGAAAAAACAAGATGGAAGTCTTCGATTGTGTATCGACTACCGAGCATTAAATAAGGTTACGGTGCGCAATCACTACCCTATCCCTTTGGTGGCGGATTTGTTCGATCAGTTAGGGGATGCAGTGTACTTTACAAAGCTAGACTTGAAGTCTGGCTATCACCAAGTTCGTATCGCCGAAGGAGATGAACCAAAAACTGCTTGTGTGACGAGATACGGGGCATACGAATGGCTAGTCATGCCCTTTGGCTTGACGAATGCACCTGCTACGTTCTGTACTTTGATGAACCAAGTATTTCGAGAGTACTTAGACAAGTTTGTGGTCGTGTACCTCGATGACATCGTTGTCTACAGCAAGACTTTGGAGGAGCACCTCGAGCACCTAAGATTGGTCTTCGAGAAGCTGAGAGAACATCACCTTTTTGTGAAACGAGAAAAGTGTGCCTTTGCGCAGGAAGAAGTCGGATTTCTTGGACACTTTGTGGGGAAGGGTCGATTGAGGATGGACCCAAAGAAGATATGTGCTGTTCGCGATTGGCGGGATCCCAAGAACCCCTCTGAGCTGCGATCCTTTCTAGGACTGGCGAACTATTATAGAAGATTCATTAAGGGATACTCAGAGATCGCAAGTCCCCTCACCGACCTATTGAGGAAAGATTGTCGTTGGGAATGGTCAGGGCCCCAGAAGGAAGCTTTCCAGAAGTTGAAAGAAGCAATGGTGAAGGAGCCGGTCCTTGCCCTTCCAGACATCACCAAACCATTCGTGGTCGAGACGGATGCTTCGGATTTTGCTTTAGGAGGAGTGCTCCTCCAAGAAGGACATCCTATTGCATTCGAAAGTAGGAAGCTGAATAATGCGGAGAGAAGGTATGCGGCACAAGAAAAGGAGCTACTAGCCATTGTGCACTGCCTAAGAGGATGGAGGCACTACTTGTTGGGGTCAAAGTTTACCGTCCGCACAGACAACACCGCGGCGAGTCACTTTCTCACCCAACCCAAGCTGACAGGAAAACAAGCTCGGTGGCAGGAGGACTTAGCTGAGTTCGACGTGGAGTTCACCTATAGAACGGGATCCAGCAATAGAGTTGCCGATGCCCTGAGTAGGCGGGCCGATCTTGCTGCGATGTACAAGCTAGGGCCAATGACTGCAAGCAGCATTGCCACATCCGTTAGAGATCAAGTTCGTGCTTATCTCCCAGATGATCCGATGACAAAAACCATAACAAGGATGATTGAAGAAGGGAAGACTAGACGCTTTTGGTTGGAAGATGGCCTCATCTTCACAAAAGGTACAAAGCTGTTCATCCCCAAAGCAGGGGGATTGAGGAAAATGTTGTTGAAGGAATGCCATGATACGCTGTGGGCGGGACATCCTGGTTGGCAGAGAACCCTCAGTCTACTCGCGATGGGGTACTACTGGCCAGGAATGAAGGAAGATGTGATGAGCTACACCAAAACCTGCCTTGTGTGCCAGCAAGACAAGGTTGACAGACAGAAGCCCGGGGGCCTCCTTGAACCTCTTCCTGTACCAACTCGACCGTGGGAGAGTGTGTCGATGGACTTCATTAGTGGCCTCCCGAAGGTTGGCCAGTTCTCTTCTATCATGGTGGTGATAGACAGGTTCTCAAAATACGCAACGTTTGTACCCTTGCAGAAGGCTTGCGGAGCAGAAGAAACGGCATCTCTCTTCTTTAAGCATATTGTGAAGTACTGGGGATTGCCAAAGAGCATAGTAAGCGACAGGGATACCAGATTCACGAGCATATTCTGGTCTGAGCTATTCCAAATGATGGGGTCTGACCTCAACATGTCGTCAAGCCACCACCCTCAATCTGATGGGCAGACAGAGAGATTCAATGGGCTTCTCGAGGAATACTTACGTCACTTTGTGAGTGCCAACCAGAAAGATTGGGTGAGACTCTTGGACGTCGCACAACTTTGCTTCAACGCTCAAAGGAGTTCTTCTTCCAACAAAAGCCCCTTTGAGTTGGTCATGGGTCAACAACCTCTCCTCCCGCACACAGTGGCTGACTGGGAGGGCGGTAGGAGTGCTCAGGAGATTTTACAAGAGAGTGGAAGCAAAACACCGACATTGCAAAAGCCTACCTAGAGCGAGCATCGCGCTGGATGAAGAAATGGGCTGATCAAAACAGAAGGCCAGTTGATTTTGCTATTGGGGACATGGTGATGGTGAAGGTCTTACCAGAACAGCTGAAGTTTCTCAGAGGGAGAGATCGTCGCCTCATTCGGAAATATGAAGGCCCCATCCGCATCACTAAACGGATTGGGAAGAACGCATACAAGGTAGAACCGCCTGCGTGGATGAGGATTCACCCCGTCTTCCACGTTAGTCGTCTAAAACCGCAACGTCAGCTACCGTGCCAACATCAGAACCAGGACAAGAGCCACCCCTACAACAGAAGACTGAAGCTGCTAAGATCTTAGTGTAGATTTTGTAAGTCGACGAGGACGTCGACGACTTAAGTGGGGGAGGATGTTAGAATCCAACCTCTTTGTTATGTATTCTTCTTTATTTTCCTTATATTTTCCTTATGTAATGTCTCTTTAGTCTTTCTTTTTATTTTTCTAGACCCTAGGGAGAATTATTGTGTTACTGTCATTTCAACGTTCACTTGTAATTCTCTACTAATGCAATATAAAGCTCTTTAGGGAGCGAATGGTTATTCAATCAAAGCTCTCTACCTCGTTGTTATTGCTTTAAGACTTGTGTGTTGTTTAAGCCTTTATAGATATTGTGCTTGCCTTGTTTTAAAGCATCCCCCACCAAACCAAAAGACCCTAGAGACGTCCTCATTTTCGTCGGTTCCGCTTGTGCCCGCTTCGAAGTATCGGCCGTCACAAGCCCCGACTCCGCACTCGTTGTTCTCGTGTGCCCTCTTGAGACACCGTAGGTCCGTGTTGCTGTGTGCTCACGAACCTCCTTGCTTTAGGCTTGCGCCCTTGTCGCCAAAAGACGAGAGCGCGCCGCACGATCTGGTGTTGAATCACTCGGACCGTGACACTATGTCAGTATGGCTATATCTAATGCTATGTTCTTGGTTTCGTATTGATTGTTGAAGAAGTGAAGGAAAAATGGTTTGATATTTATAGAATTAAAGATTTCAGATCTTCTGGACACTACCGATTATTTTATATAATACCAAAAGCAGTTGTGCTAGTTGCTTGCACAGTGTTGTTACTATCTCCTTCATCACCACTCTCCTGTAGGGAGTTGATGTATGTGGACATGTGGTTATATAGGATCTCTGAATCATGTGTATAACAAAAATGATTGATTTTATGGCTGAGATATTATGATGATATGAATCCTTCATCCTGAGGAATTCAATTCTGTGTTTGACATTTTTTTTTATCTGGGCGAACCTCTGTATTGAGCTGGATTCTACCTCTAAAGAAGTACATTTTTATTGGGCTGGATTCTATCTCTAAAGGAGGACATTTTGGTGATGTTAATATTATTTGCTTAAGTACATGGTTGCTAAGCCATTTTTGCACAATGGCATTAGATCATGTACATTGGTCACAGATGTTGATCATGTCTGAAGGTCTTGATTATAGATGATTGAACTTGATAGGGAGTAGTTTCACAGAATGTCTTTGTAGGTCCTAAAGTTGCTTCAGTTTTTGCTGCAGAGATGCTAGCTATACCTTCCACTATTCCACTATTTTAAAAATCTTTTACGAGTAATTTTTTAGCCTCCTTTTTAGCAAATATCATTTAGGCTCTGTTTCTTTGGGCTGAATCGGATCTGAACTGAACTGAATGTAACTGAATTGAATTGTTTATGAGAGAAGGAAATTGAAAACTGAACTGAACTGAAGTACTATAGAATTAAGTCCAAAGAAACAGGGCCTTATTAGGGTTATTGTGGTTGTGTTTTCAGTTTATAAGAGTGCGTTGTGATCCAACTCATTTTAACTTGTAAGGGCTTTTGTTTGTGTTTGCAGCGGAGGAGGATTTTTTCCTGCGGGTTATGAAATTCTACAACTGACCCTTTGAGTACATAAAAGTTATAGGCTCCTAACTATGACGAATATTATTTTCGTCCCTTGGCTGCTTCAGTTGAGGAGATTTGCACATAACCAGGAAGTTGCTCATGGATACTGGATAGAGATCAGTGAGTGTTAAAAGTTAATAGAAGTATTTGCCATTGTATTAGTGGCATATATGTTGGATTATTTCTTAATTTTGTCCCCACATCACACACAACTTTCCAGGCAGCATTGTCCGTTGTTTACCTCCTCTGATTATACGCGGTAAGGACTAACGTCAATGTACTGTATAACTTTGCTAATGAAAATTTCAAAAAGGTCATTACTTCTGAAAGTGTGCCTCTCTGTACTACTATTTTATGTAGCACGGAAATGCTTGAAGTTTTGGAAATGGATATGTTTCGAAAACGGGGAAACGTCAATTATGAAAATCAAGGAAACGGGGAAATGTTTTAGAAATTAAATAAAAATTATATTTTTAAAAAATAAAAAGAGTAAAAACAAGAAAAACCATAAAATTGTCTTGCGAAAAAATTATTATATGTAAAATGTATATAAAACTACTACTACATCTAATTTAGATTTTGTTACAAAATTATAGACCATTAAAATAAGGGTAATTTGTAAATTACCACCCAAAAATAAGACCATTTTTTGTATAACCACCCAAAACAAAATTATTTTTATTTAACCACCCCTTAAATTAAATAAGCGCGCACATTACCACCCATTTTTAAATTCCAGTGAAAATTCCGTTAGTGGGCCTCACTTTTTTTATCTTTTTCCTTTTTTTCCTTCTATTTTCTGGCTTTCTCACCCTCTCCCCGATTTTTTCACTCTTCTTCTTGCTACCTTCTTCCTTTCTTCTTCTACCTTCAATCCTCACCCCAATCCTCACCTCAATTTATTGGACAACCACCATAATCAACCTCACCACCCTTAACATACACCACTAGCCACTGCAATCTACCCCACCACCCTCAACACACCCCACCGCCCACTGCCTTCAACTTCACTGCCCTCCACACACATCTCACCGCCCTCAACAAACCCCACCGAAAGAATAAGGGTTGATTTAGGGTTCATGCTTCAATTGAATTGGGAGTTTTCTTAAATTAGGGTTCCTATTATAAGAAAACCCCCAATTCAATTGAAGAAAACCCCCAATTCAATTTTTCTCTTTGTTGGTTATTTTTTCTCTTCCAAATTATCCCCAAATCCCCTTTATTGTTCCTTGTTTGGATGAATTTATACCCGACAAAATCTGGGATTTTGAGAGATTAATTTTTCTGGGCCGGGTAACTTGAATTTTTTATTGATTGATTAATCATGCCATCTTTTCGGTGGCGAACGGAAGGGGAGGAAAACAATTATGGGGGGCTAGCGAACGGAAGGGATGGTTTTTCAGGGGGTGGTTGGGGGGAAGGGGAGGGGTGGTTTTCGGTGTTGCTGGAAAAGGGGATAGGCGATTTGCGGGGTGATTTTTGCGGCTGCTGGAGAAGGGTGGTTTCCGCGGCTGTTTGGGATAGGCGGTTTTCGATGGTAGGGCTGGGGAAGGGGATAGGTGGTTTTCGATGGTGGGGTTGTGGTTAACGGTTGCCAGAGGTGGTGTGAAAGGTGGAGCAATGGTGGTGGTGGTGGTTGGGAAGAAGAAATGAAGAAGGTAAGAAGAAGAAGAGTGAAAAAATCGGGGAGAGAGAGTGAGAAAGCTAGAAAATAGAAGAAAAAAAAGGAAAAAAAAAAAAAAGTGGGGCCCACTGACGGAATTTTCACCGGAATTTAGAAATGGGTGGTAATCTGCGCGCTTATTTAATTTAAGGGGTGGTTAAATAAAAATAATTTTGTTTTGGGTGGTTATATAAAAAATGGTCTTATTTTTGAGTGGTAATTTACAAATTACCATTAAAATAAAATATCAAACTATTATCAACATTATGTTTCTCTTCTTCGACATGGAATCGTTACATTGAGAATACGAATGGGGAAAAGTAATCGGCCATCAACAATCCAAGAATTTGCCAACAACCACCTTTTATCTGAGTAATTCCCTGTTCCTCACTGTGAGGAACAAGTTTTGTTCCACATGGCATATGTGTCAAAAGCAGAGAGGTCCGTTCAAAATTGACAGGCGGTCTCCATTAGTAAAAAATATCACATTATTTTCCAAAATACCATTATGAGGAACAAAAGTGTTCCTTGTGATGAGACACTGGGGCTCCCTCCTTTTATCTACCCTATTTTGCTAACAATTTAACGATTCCACGACCTCACCTGAACACCCACTGCGCACCACGAGCTCACCACCACCTAAACACCGCACCACTTCACCACCACCCAACACCCCAATTCACGAGCCTCTCCACAACCCACCATCCCTCGATCAACCCACCAATTACCCCCAACCCAATTCATGCCCCTCCAAATCTCCAGCCACCAATTTGCGCCCCACCAATTCACCAGCCCCCACCACAATTCGCCACCCACCAATTAGTGCCCCTCCAATTCACTCCCCTCCACCATCCAGCACCCTAATTCGTGAGATGAGAGAGAGAGAGAGAGAGAGAGAGAGAGAGAGAGAGCGACACAGAGAAGGGTGGATGAACGAGGGTGGCGGAGTGGGGAGCGGTGCGGCGACATGGCTTGGCAAGACCCGGTAGTCAGGTAATCCATAACTAAGACAAAGAGCAGTGGGGACGTTGGGTCCCCTTGTCTGAGACCCCTTTTACCTGCTAAGAAATCAAAGGGAGCACCATTAAGCATTAGTGAGAAGCTTGGGGTGGTAACACACTCCATAACAATTTTGATGAACTTTTGAGGGAAGTTTAGTGCAGGCAGGATATTCCTCAAAAATTGCCAAACAATGGAGTCGTAAGCCTTCTACAAGTCAATTTTGATCATGCCATCCTCAACTGTTGATCTTGCTCTGTAGCATTTCATGAGATCCTGGCACACAAGAACGTTGTCTACTATGTGCCTGCCTTGGACAAATGCACCTTATGACCGATCAATTATTTTTGGAAGAATGGCACTCAATTTCTCACGGATAAGCTTGGTGATGCACTTCTACAAGACCCCGCAACAAGTTATGGGTCGATATTCTCTACTACACTCCCGGGACATTTGACTTCAGGAATGAGTGAAATGACTGTTGTATACTTGTATTAACCTCTTTCAAAAGTTTACCATTGTGGACAAAAAAATCAAGGATTGCTGAAAGAATTTTTTGTAATGAAAATAAGATAATAAATGTGCTTTGAAAATAAAAGTTCAAACATGATTGATTGATACTTCCTCCATTCTTAATTACTTGCATTCTTTTCTTTTTTTTGGAAATATCAAATTACTTGCATCCTTTCTACTTTAGTCACTATATTCTCTCTACCTCTCTCTTCCAATGGGTCTCATTTTTTGTTTCTCTCTATCTCTCTTCTCTCCTTAAACTTTGTGTATTTTTATTTAGATACAACTATAAAAGAACAGAGGAAGTATATAATTATAAAATATAATTTTATATAATTGCATTGTAAAAAAAGATATTTTATACTATATAAGAGTACAACATACCTATTTTCTCAAAAAAAAAATAAAAAAAAAATAGAGTACAACATACCTATTATTTAAAATTGAGCATTTGCTTAGAAATTATCTAGTTGAGGGTAATAAGATTAACTTAAAAAAATTCAATTGAATTAACAAAATTAATTAACATTAATGATATTGTGAACAAACTGTCAAAAGTTTATGGGTATCTGGGGGGAACTTTCGAAAATCAGGTGTAAAACTTAGAAATTCAAACTATATGTAGAGGTTTATTGTTAAAAAACCTACTGTAGTTTGATTATATCGCTTGGGAAACAAATCAAAGTGGAAATCACAATCCACAATGACTTGAGTATTAAACAAAAAGCCAAACCATATTTTTAAAATTGTAAAAATTATTGAGACAAATCAAACAAGACACAACTTGACTACTTAATCCATTTCACGAACATAGCAACAATTAAATTATTGATTTTGCACGCATTTTAAAAAAGAAATTTAACAATGTAAAGGAGCAAATTAATCAAAATAATTTTAACATTCCTAACTTTTATGCCTTGTTCTCGTGAGCTTATTTCAATAAGTTTCAGTAAAAATAATTTCAGTTCAGTAGTAATAAGTTCAGTTCAGTAAAAATAAGTTCAGTTCTTAAGAAATTTGTTCAGGTTTCAGTAAAAATAAGTTCAATTCAGTAAAAATAAGTTTAGTTTAGCAAAATTTAAATGACGAGAACAGAGCCTTATAGTCCCATTTTTAACAGGTCAATGCTCTACTCGGCTTGTTCACATGTGTACGGAGGAAGTAGACGGTAGTCTTTGAGTCTTGACTACTGGTTTGCAGCGAATGTAAAAAAGATTTGCGAAAATGAGCTGTATTTTTTCCTAATAATGAATTACAACAAATCAACAATACTTTTCCGCGTTAATCAAGCTTCATGAAATAAAACTACAGTATTCCAACACCTAACTACTCTCTCCCTCTCACACTTCCACTATTCTTTCCTTCTTCATTCAATTCTGTTGTCTCTCTCATCAGTTTCTTTTTCGTATGCGAAAAAAAAAAAATTAAATTGTTACAGTAACATGAAATTGAGAAACGCAGTTTCATCAGCAACAATTTAATTCAGTCGATGACATCAATTATTGCAGCTATTCTCATCTTATCCATATTTCTTCCTTCTTCTTTTGCTTCAGGTTTCCATTTTTATTTTATTTTTTTTAATCTCAGTGAAATCTTAATTTGTTGTTATCAGATTAGACATGTTTATTTCTATTTCCGGAAATTTTCATTTGATTTTTGAAAATGGTCTGATATGTTTTTTTTTTCTATTTATAGAAATATATGAAGTTCACCACCCTCGCCAATCTACTGCTCGCACTCTTCTTCAAGCTCAGCAAGGTAAGAGGACCATGAATTGTTTTGTTTAATCATTTTTAGATTTACGTTGATTTTCCTTGAAGATTAGTTATATTGTTCAGAATTGGGGATTTTCGTTTTATTTGATATTTGTTAGTTAATATTTTTTCTGAATTTTACTTTCGCAATTATATTATTGTCTGTTTACATGATCATATCGTCCGTAAACTTAGATAAGAAATCATCCAACTTTTACACCAAGTTTTATCAAGTCTATTCCGATCCAAAACAACAGGAGTATATAAAGCAAGCAAGCAATCAATCAACAGAAGCTTTCGTCCCATAATTGGGGTCTGATAAATGAACCACATATATAAAGCAGAAACTGCTAAATCTGCTACACAGAAATTACTAATTCGCGCATTGAAATTTGAAAATGTATACTGTATAATGGGGAAATGAGTCATTGTTCAAGTGAGAGGGGTGCGGAAATGACGGGGGACTGGGAGTGCGTAAATCACCACCTATGTAATGGACATCAGTTTTAATCAATATTTATTAAATTTTGAGTTAGGTTTCTGAATATTATATCTTAAATCTGGAAATTAGAGTTGGATAAGTAAATGACCATTCGTATTATATCGTATTAGTATTAATTCAAACCGTGAATAAGTAAATGACCATTTGTATTATATCGTATTAGTATTAATTCAAACCGTGCATTGCTCGTGTATCGCCTAGCATTGGTAATGAGCACGACTGCCTTGAGAGGTCGCTTTAGTTCGAGAAATATTGACAGAGTATGCAATGAGGGAGCCCCAGTTCCTCATTATGAGAAACACTTTTGTTTCTCATAATGGCATTTTGGAAAATAATGTGATGTTTTCACTGGTGGGGACCGCGTATGTGTCATGAGTGGGAACCCCAGATCTTGACACATACCCCATGAGAAACAAAACTTGTTTCTCACAATGAGAAACAGAGAATTACCCGTATGCAATTCATGGTTGCAGGTTGCCCTGTGAATTTTGAAAACTTGAACTACACAATCATAACCAGCAGATGCAAAGGGCCAAGATACCCTCCCAAGATATGCTGTAAAGCTTTCACAGACCTTGCATGCCCCTATTTCGAAGAATTGAATGACCAAACCAACAATTGTGCGACCACCTTGTTCAGCTACATTAACCTTTACGGCCATTATCCCCCTGGTCTTTTCGCCAATGAGTGCCGTGATAGCAAGCGAGGTCTCGAGTGCACTGATTCTCAGTTGGCACCTCAAAACTCACCTACCTCTGCTGCTGCCACTTCAACTATGAAAGTCTAATTGGCTAATACAAGAGGGGGGGGGGGGGTGAATTGTATTTGAGGTGAAATCTAAAAACTTTTGCGGAATTTAACTAAATGAAATAATGACGAGAGAAGATATAGGCTTTTCCAAATTTCCACTATGTAATCAAACTCTTTACAAGTGAAGATTCAAACCCGTTAACAAGTTCCACAAATTAGGAACTTGTTCCCAACTCTCACAGAAGACTTCAGCAGCGAAGCTTCCTTAACCTCACCTTACACAAACTCACAATCCCAAACCCCAAAGTGCTTTGAATACAATCTGTAATTACAAATACCTATTACACTCAAGAATATATGAAGGAAAATAACTCTCTTTATGTTATTAGATAGCTACTGGAATTTTTATGCTCAAGAGTTATGTTTTTCTGAGATAATTTGCATGAGTATTTATAGAGAAGGCTTAGTCATTAACCTCCACTATAATCACGTCCACATGCCAACACCCCACTAACAACTTGTGGAGTTATCTTGACAGATGGTGATCATGAAGGAGGTTTCCTAGCCTTTTCTCACTAATCCACCATCTCAACAACTTGCTGAATATTAGCTTTGATAAAACCGTATAATCAGAGAGTTTTGCAACAACGAAACTGCTTGTTGACTTTATCAAAAGTTTGTTTAAAAAGATTTTATTTTAAAAAGGATTTTATTTGAAAAGATAAATTAATTATTTATTTCAAAACAACTAAGATAATTATCTAAGAATAATTATCTTTATTCGAAAATAGAGGACTAGATAAAACATTTATAAATTATCTTTTTCCTTAAAAGAATTATCTTTTAAAACTAACTTTTATTCCAGTAGTCTTTTTGATAACATAAGTCATTGAGTTCCTTTCCGACTTTATATTATTGAGTGCTCACAATTAAAACTAGAACGTGAGATTTGCATGAGGGCTTTTTAGAGAATGCTACTCCGCATCCAAGTTCCTACTCCGGAACGCACTTTGCTTGAACCCTTTATTCACCAAAGACTCAAAACACTCATTAGTCGAGTTTGTCAATTTGTCCATCAAAACCAAAAGGGTCAACAAACTATAGCTTACATTGTACGGTAACTTACATTGCTGATAAGCCTGGCCCCATGCCAGGCAGAATCTACACCATAAGGGGGAGGAATCACTTTGATTCCATCCGATAAGGACAGAGGAAGAAGTTCTCGCAGTTCTCGGGAAAAAAAGTCTGAAAGTTCTCGGGATAAAAGGGAAGTGCGCCTCACCTGCGCCTAGCCACATGCGCCCTGCCTTGACCGTTTTAAGCGCTTACCCCTTAGCACCTAGCGCCTTAGCGCCTAGGCGTGCCTTTTCAAACATTGATCCTGCCTAATTATTGTGTTCTGCAATCTCAGTTATACTAAAAAGTCGCATGAACATAACTTAGAGGCCCTAAATGGAGGGCTTCATGCAGCATATCAGCACAGGCCACCTAATGTGCTGACTTATTCTAGAAGGGAAGCAGGTTGAAATGAATACATGTACTACTAACTGCTAAATTAGTTACATTTTTGTTGTTGTCTAAGTTCATTAGCACTAGAGGGCTAATATAGTATTTTTCATCAAGAAAAATTGGCCTAAACAACACCAACTATGGCTTGGGTGCACTCAGTAGCACAAACTTTAGTGGGTGAACCCCACAACACAAACTTTGATGTTGGGTGCATAATGTGACATAAAAAAATAAAAAAAATTTAAAATTCTGTGTAAAATTTTTAGTCACCTTACTTGTGATTACATTATTTACATGAATGCAAGCAAAAATGTCCAAATAATTCAACCTAGAAATTCAATTTAGGCATAGGTAATAACTAAAATAACATATTTATGTACCTATTTGCACCCAACATAAAAGTTGGTGCTAGTGGGCGCACCCACTATGCCAAAGTTGATGTAGTTAAGGCCAATTTTTCCTACCCATTAAGAATTTGTTAGAAAACTTAAAAAGAGCTGGCTAGCTTAAATATATAAGGCACAGAAGCCGTTAGAGGATGTTTTGAGAAAAAGTTAGTGACATCTATTGCTTAGGAGAGAGTTCGCCTCTAATGTGAACGATTATATAGAAATTATACTGATTGACAATACAATTTGATCTCTTTACCTTAGTTGTTTTAGCTTAGATCTTTCCTAGCTCTAAGCTGAGATAATTGAGTGCTCACTCAGCACTTGCACTATTTTCCGTGGTGCATTTTAGATCATCTCGCCATCTGACTGCCCAAACAGGCACTGTACATGAGCTTATGAAGTAATGCCCACAAGATTTGACTCTTCTCTTTCATTAAATAGACATGCAAGGACACATGCATACCAACATTGTTAGGGAGCCAAAATTTCTTGGTAAACTAACTACGAGCCTATGACCATTGCCCTTGAGAGATTCTGCCAGCCCCATAACATTTGAGAGATACCATGGACTCAAAAGATCCTATCACACACTCGTACCTTGGTCTCTGTCTCTCTGATTTACCCAAAATTTATGATAAATAAGACATCAGTTTGTCACACGTTTGGAGTTTTTGGGATTTGGACTTCAAGACTAATACGAAAAAGGGAAATATGTCAGGATGAAAGGAAACAATTAGAGAAGGCTGAGAGGCTACAACTGGCAGATTTTTTAACAGAAAGATGGTTCAATGAAACTGAGAAAATCAAGGTCAAGCCAAGAATACAATTATACATATGAATCAACAACAAACCACGAATTTGAGATTAAGTGGGACAGATATTACAATGTGCATCTAAAGCTTCGGGGACAAGAGTTTCAGGGACTATGGTACTACTTATATGTCCTAGATGTACGCGCCTTTTCCTGAATCTATGTGCTAGTAGATCCCAATATGAGGTATTCCAAGCAGTATTAAGATAGGTCACCTCCTTAAAAGATTTTAATGATCCCTTTCGAGTGCAAAGATTTATAATAACCTACACTACAGAGAAATGACTACGGTGTGGAGTGTAACAAAAACTTTAAAATATTAGCTTATTTTAAACCATGACACTCGAACAGATAGGTAGGGAACAAACAACACATGCAGACTAGGTTCCACTGATGAAAAAAAAAAAAACAAGCGTTATGCAACATTAGGAGACACCATTATTACTTGGCACAACAGATGTTTGGTTGAAACCAATGTTAACCACAATTCCAGAAGTTCTCCTTGCAGCATATAATGCTAATGTTGCCTGCATAATAAAAAGAAATAAAATAAAATAAAAAATCAAACCTCATAAGTCACCACTAGAGGCCCAGATGATTTCCAAATTGTAATCAAGAAAGAAAAAAGAGAAAACAACTACAGAAACAGAGATATAAAAGGTAAATAGCATGAAAGAAAGAAGCAATGAAGGAGGTATAATTTATAGTTCTTTAGATCCCTATGTAAAGAGAGCAAAAAAACACAAAAAATTAATATTTTGATTTCTATTTCTTCATATTTTTAACCCTGTATAGAAGAATAATGCTATATATATAGACAAGATAAAGTGGCCTGTAAACTGTGAAATCAATTTGTTAATAAAGAAACTGGTTATTCATGTGTACAGGACAACATCTTTACATAGATTTTAATGAGGTTTTTTTGTCAAATGCATGTTGTATTAGTGGTCCCTACCTATGTGTAAACATATTTGCACAGCATGACAGGGAAAGGGAAATCAACTTTCACCCACCCAGATGAATAACATGGATGATGGATCATAATTTGTATAGAAATCAAAGAGTTATATATTGACAACTAAACATCAACTAAGTATATATTTTATCTTAATAAACATTCACCTGATTTATTGCACAAACAGCAGGCACATTCATGTCAAAAAGTGCTGAATATATAGCTCCTTTTAGTTGTTTCCTTGAGCCTTAGCCCAGTCAGTGTCTGAATATGACCGAAGATTCAATTCTTTGGTATGTAATTTCTTATCTATAATCATTATTCAACTTAGAAAGTTAGAAGTGACAAACCCCTTTTTTTGCGAGGGTGGACTACTGTATATTATGAGTTCAATCATATTGCTAGGTAGCTATGGCAGACACCTCGTTAAAATATACTTGTATGATCAAAATGAGGTATGTTAATAGTACAAGAGTCATAGTGGTACAGCTACTACTATTGAAAATGGAGGGAGGAAAATTGGTTATATACTTATATTACTAAATTTAAAAATATTCTTTGCTATATTGTGCGATGCTCTTCTAATCAGAATAACTTACTATCGTTATGACAGACAGGGATAGAGACAACAATAGGCTGACTAGTTGATTTCACTTGCATCCTGCCACCAAAACTTAGCATGAGAATCATAGGAAAGTGATTAAGAGAAACCAATGATTGACGCTTCCCTTTTTTAACAAGGAGCTACAAGAGTCCAAGTGTAGATATGTAATAAAATTGATCGATAGATTATTATGCTCCTATCCAATGGAATAGTACTTTGGGTCTGTTCTATTCACCTTATATGAGTTTATCTAAACTTATCTGAACTTATTTTAGCTTGTTTTATGAGGGAGAAAAATAATAAGTTTATTCTTCTCATTTTTATTTTTTTTTTTTATTATCTGAACTTAAACTAGTAAAAATAAAATGAACAGAACAAACCCTTTACATTAAACTATAAGCATGAATATCCAACTTCTACAATTAAGGTACTCTACAAAATTTTGCATTATGGTGGAAAATTTCGGATACAATGCAAATGTCCAAGAGAAACCGGGAATGGTTTTAAAAGACCAAATTTTATATAAGCGGATCCTAACATAGCTAATTAGGTATGCATAAAAGAGTAGAACCGATATACCAACCTGCCATATACGGTGTTGTAAAACTGATGATGTCTAGAGTACATGGGGGCTTCAATATTACCAAAATCCTATAAAGTGATTGGAATAAAGCTAAGCAGGCAGAGCTTATTTTAATTTTTAAAAAATCAAATTAGGAAAGAGGAGTGCCAGGAGTGTTCACCATAAAGGTGGCTGATCTCCCTGATGGACACTGATACTTGCTCCAACCGAATTTACAGTAGCCAGAACCACCTGTAAAGAATCAGTATTTAATCAAAGAAAGCTAAATGTCACACATTCAAGCTGCATATGGATATGATGTTGTAGATCATAAATAGCACCACCATGTTTGAATTGTAAACACATCCGTCAGGAATCAACATTCGGTTAGACTTAAGCTAGGACGACGTAACTTGTTAGAGACAGGAATTTGATTCCATCGGTAGCTATTCAATACTCCAACAAGTGGTGTATAATTATAGGTGTTCTTCATCTTTTCTTTCTGAATATAGGTTTAACTGTACATAACACACTTCTTAAATCTAAATCTTTCATCTCTATTATATAAGCCAAGGGAGGAGCAATGGTGTCCCCCTTTGGAATTGCTTCACGTAACAAAAACACAAATTCACTTACCAAAATCTAATTACAATTATGTGTTACCAGGGAAGTTCAACACAATTATGTGTAAAAAAAGAGGAAGTTTATACCTAAAAAGTAAAATGACATATCTAATTAAATAAATTTTAAATCAATTATAAACCAAAATTTACATAGTTTCTATTTAAACATTCGATTGTAATAACAATTATGTTCTCATTTTTTTGGAGCTAAATTTCATAATTTCCATTTATATAAATTGTGGTAATGTTATTAATATCAACCAATTAAGGCTCATTGTTAGATTACAAAAACTTACAAGCGTGCATAAAAAGCTAGGGTTCCATAATACAAGTAAGAACTCATCGGAGCTACACGAAACGAAACCTGACTGCTACTCTTTTTTTTTTTTTTTTTTTTTTTTTTTTTTTTTTTTTTTTTTTTTTTTTTTTTTAGTGTTATGATTAGTTATGATTATCAAATGTCACCTTACTTTGCAAAATTAATTTTCCTATTTTGCTTTCGGGAACAAATCAATCTTATTTTAATACTTGACACGAATCCTTTTACTAGTATTTAGGTTTGTCATTGAATTTGGTCTCCTTCAAAGAATGACAATAATTTCAGGTTTTCCAGCCATAGCAATTGCTAAATTTGCATTGATGAAATTAAATCAAAATTATTCTTCAAATGTGGTTAAAAAAAAAATCCTAAATTTCTTTCAATCTTTTATGCCTAATTATCCAAACAGAAAGTGGAAAGCTAAACATCGTTCTCGAATCTCTAACTAACGCCCGCAAATAACCTAAAATGACGTACATAGCCTTATTATAAAAATAATTATTTTTACCTAAACTTAACACTTTTACCCTACACAAAAATTTTAACTGTTCTCTTAAGTGTTCACCGGCCACCAACAACCACGTTTAACCACCAACCACCGATAAAATCAAACAAATAATTTAAATTTTGCAAAACCTAATTAGTTGGATCTCATGGAAGACGACGAAAGACCGGAACACCACCTACGTTGCTCGTCGAAGGCTCGTCGGACCGTACGGAATTACTACGATTATTTAATTGTTTTTGTTTTCGAATTACCCAGGAAAACGCTCAGAAATTTCGAAAAACCTAAGCAGAAACACCTAGATTTTTCGAACACCCTAGGCAGTTTCGAAAAATCTAGGTATTTCTGCCTAGGTTTTTCGAAATTTCTGGGCGTTTGCCTTGGAATTTCAAATTATTATTTTCTTTTTGATTTTGAATTTCACGTATTTGTTATTATTATTATTATTATTATTATTTTGATTATATTAGTTGTGTTTGTTATTATAATTACTTGTGTTTGCTATTATAATTAGTTATTATTGTTAGAATTATTATTATTAGTTGTTATTATTGTTAGTTGTGCGTTGTTAGAATTATGGTTGTTATTATTATTAGTTTTCTTCGGCAACCGCCTTCCCCTTGTCCTTCCTCGTCATTTTCGCGGCTAACTGTGTAGATCGAGAAACTGGAGGTAAAAGGAGGTGGTGGTGGGTGGTTAAAAGAGGAGGAGGTGGTGGTGGTGGTAGTGGTGGGTGGTAGAAGGAGGTGGTGGTGGTTTAGAGCAAGAATTGTTTTTAAGAGAAAGAAGAGGGAGTGAGGGTTTGGGGGGGTAAATTATGTTTGAGGGAGGTAATTTTTTTTTTTTAAATATAAGGGTAAATTTGTAGAATATATTTTATTTTGCGGACATTTGTTAGAGATTCGAGGGCGATATTTAACAAAAATTACTAATTACAAAATGTAATTAATAAGCAGAAAGAACAAAGCATAATCAATTAACATACCATCAACAATAATAGCACCAGGAACCTTAGCACGAAGGCCAATGATATCCATCACAGACAATTGACGATCATAAGCATGCCTGCAAATCAAAATTAAATGGGAAATTATCAATAATACCCTCCAGGTATTGGCTTTTATCAATGGTACACATCATTAAAGTTTCATTATCACCGGTACCCCTAAACTTTTCCCTAATTTACTACAGTAAGCTTGCCATTAATTAAACGTTAATTATACTCGTTTGGTCTGAATTTACTTGACTAAAATGCCCCCCATTCAATAATCCTCCCTCCAAGCCCAACCAACAACAATTAATACAAAAAAAAAAAAACGATCATTCATCTTCTTCACTTTCTCCCCTGTTCTACTTCTTCTTCTGTAAAACCTACTTGACGCCTTTCCCCTATTCTTCTTCTGGATTGAAGCAAAATCCTTGGAATTTTAGTGACACTGTGTGGAATTTTAAAGGTTAGTGCTTTCTGGAATTTTGGATTTTGATGGTTTAAATTTTTAGGTTTAAATGAATGTATGTATACATGTGTAGTTTGTTGTTGGATTTTGCTCTTACTTAATCTCGATTTCCATACGATCATGTTTATGTGCTAAATTTTGTATTTTTTAGACATATAATTCGATTTCCAAGTCAATGAATTTGCATGGTACAGTGTAAATGTTGAACTTTAGTGTAAATTTGTGTTGTGATGTTTTGGTGTGCCCTGCCAGATGAACCCCTGGTAGACAAAGCCATTGATTTTCCAGAGATAAATAACTGGAATCAAAAGAAAAGAAGAGCGTTGATGGAAAGGTGAAGAGCAAACAAGAAGGGAATGTGTTATAAATAGGGGAAATTTCACAAAAAGGAGGGAAAATTGGAAGGGAAATTAGGAGGGAAATGAAATGAGAGGGGCAATGTTGTATTTTTAGCCTCCTGACCTTTAAAACGCTGAAAACAAAGTATAATTAACATTTAATTAACGGCAAGCTTACTGTAGTAAATTAGGGAAAAGTTTAGGGGTACCGGTGATAATGAAAGTTTAATGATGTGTATCATTGATAAAAGCCAATACCTGGAGGGTATTATTGATAATTTCCCAAAATTAAATATTTGAACAATATTTAAACGAATCTAAAATTGATTATCAGAAATTCAACACAAATGACAACAAAAAAGAGTGGGAAAAAGTGTACGAAAAAGTAGAATTCAGTTGATATTCAGCAAAAAAAGACGGAGTCCCAATCCCAAAACTGAGAAAACTTATTGCAATTGCCATTCTGGAAAAAATAAATCCAAAGTTCATCATCGCAATTCACAATTTACTTCAAATTTTGCACACAACGCATAATTTCGCTGCATCTTTGGGACTCAATTTTTGCAGAATCAACCGCAGAATTTCGTTCGGTAAATGATCGAAATCTCCAATCCTAGATGATGATGATGAATTTCTACTGTTGTTAGAAGAGCATCTTATAATAGAAGAAGATGAAGAAGAAGAAGTGTTGGATATCACTGAATCCCAAACTTTTTTGAGCAACATCGTTGATTGATTTCAACGTTAATTATCAATACTCAAATTCATGATTATCATAATGATGACAATGATGAATTGATTACGGTGAAATATGGGCAAATTAGATGCTACACCAAGTAGCTTTGAGATGTACACAAAAAAAATTTCATATTTTTTTAAAATTTACTAGTGGCACATACGCTGGGCTCCGCGTTGTTTTATCCTTACGAATAACCTCAAACAATAGACGTAGGTGGAAAGAAAGATTACCGATCAATATGCACAAATATTATACACATAATAGTTTACGAATATATAAGAACGGTACAGATCATATTAGAGGGTCAATCGCTACATTTTCAAGCAGCTATGGATGGGTTTTTTCGATTGTCCTTCCTCTGTGGCTCCCGCCTAACCATGTACCAATTTCCCTCATTCGATTATAAATTATGTCATATATAAACCAACTCCTGTATTTGAAGCTTCCAAAATTATTGTTGATCTCTTTTGGTGTACGAATACACTACTATAGTTAATTTTCTTGAGGTATTGTAATTAGTTGTTATTGTTTTTTTTTTGTTGTAATATATTTTGTACCATTATTGTTACTAATTTTCCTGGAGGTGTTATAATTATTTGTCATTTGGTTTGGGACCTACTACCCTCTCTGAAAACGTACTTGTTCGCGACTCCGGGGGGTTTCAGGTTGCCGTTGGTATCTGTGCAGCTTTTTGGTCGCCCTTGTTGGTGGTGTCTTCCGGCGTTCTTGTTGGGCTGTGACCTATTGCCCTCTAAAATCGCACTTCCTTGTTGGTGGCCCCAAATCGGCCTTATTCGCGACTCCATTGTTTTTCAATATGGATTTTCGCGTTTTTAATTATCTTAAAAAGGACAACCGAAATATATTACAGAGTATATGGTTACAAAATATGACCTTTAGATACCGCGTTGAATTGTACCGGCACAATTTAATTTAAAAACAATACACTAAAAAAATACATTAATATATTATAATTTCACTAATACATACGTAAATCAATAAAAGATACAGATACTTCGTTCAACATAATCTTAAAAAAAATCATAAAAAAAAAAAGAACTAACTAAAATAACGATGCATGAAACTGACAAACGGAACACACAACTAAAAAGGAACACGTTAAGAAGACATTGTTCTATGAAACACACAATAACGAAGTAAAATGGAGAAACCAACAGATCCAAACTAGCGATCATCTTTTTAGGATATCAACTTATCGTGCGTAGTCTCGATATATAATATTGAACTTGGCACAATTGGCACATAACCTCATTCTTCTTTATGAATTTGTCGAACATATTCCAATTCTCATCTTCAGAACCGAGACTTCCACGACATATGTTCTCCAAGAAGAATCGCCTATCTTCAACTACCTTCGCCAAACGTATATGGTGATTGATTATAAAAATTCAAGACATTTTTAAGACGGAAAGTGTGAACAAACTATCCATATTGCCTTCATGGTATAAAATAACTGCCCTCAAATAATCTTCATATTCACTATCATCGAGATGGCTAATGTAGTATTTAGCCATTTCAGCATTTTTTTAACCAAAAACATATCGAACGCAACTTTGACTATATCTTCTCAATCGGTTAGCAATGAAGGAGAAGGAGGAGGTGTATAGGTTCTTCTAGAGTTGATGTACTTGATGATTTAGGAGGTGATTTAGGAGGTGAATATGTTCTTGGTTATTTAGAGGAAGACGAAGCCATGAATAATATTTTTTTTGGAAGTAGATGTTAAGGAATTTAGTGATGAGGACAATGAAGAAGTACGGTTATATTTATAGTAACCCATTTGATGGCGGTAGAGGTTTCATAACTTGTTTAAATATACGGTTGTCTCCGTATTACCTGTTCTACCTCCTAATGTACTATTAATAGTCTTAATTACAATATTGATAACTGTATCTAGTACACAAGTTCATGGACGAATATTAAACGTGCACAAAAAGTAGACAAACGATTTCATACGGAGAGATGTACAGTTGAACCTAGACACCACCGCTAGTTTACAATTACTACATTGATGACGACCGAATCTTTATGTCTCGGTGACTTTATTATGAGTGTCGAGGTTCTCAGCGAGTGTAAATTACAGTAGCTGGAATGGAAGGAGTGCTTGCCGAAGTTGTTTGTACTGCAATGCTGGCCGATACATCATGTTCAGCTTTCTGTGACCCTGCAACTTTGGCTTCAGCCAGCCTAGCCTTTTTTCGCGCGACATATTCCTTTTCGGCCTGGGAGGCCTCTCTGATTATGGTCTCATCCATGTCGGCTAAGTTTTCCACCAAGTCAATTAGGTAGTTCGCATCGGCATGGAATGACAACCTAACACATGAGTTCCACCCCGAATCCCAGGCCTTATCAATCTGCACGTTCTTGCTAAGGAGGGCCGCTTGCAATCGGTCATTATCAGCTTTGTACTAAGCAAACTCTTCCATGGATTTCCTGGCCACCTCCTGTGCTTCGGCAAGCCTTTTATTAATATCATAAGCCACCTCCTTATGCTTTGCTTGAACAGCTTCAGCAACGTACATCCACTAGGACACGGCTTCTTTGGACTTCTCCTCGCAGATTTCCAACTTTGCCAAGAAGTTCGTCTTTATAGTCGTTAACTGTGACCGAATGTCTGCTGGTTCTAATTTGCCATCAAACACGACTTTTGTTAGGCGTCCCAGCTTCTCTTCTAGATTCTGCACTTCTACTTGTAACCTTTCGAGTCTCAGCCTTATCATGTTCGGCATTTTCAACAGAAAGTGCAGTTGCACGGACTGCCTGGAAAACAAAGAGGCAACTATGGTTAATGGAAGAGGCAGGCAGTACTGAACAACAAGAATATTAAAATCATACCTCCATCAGGTAGAATTGGGCCTCTTGTTCAGGCTTTCTTTCCATCTCAGCTGGTATTTGAAGCCATGCTGTAGCAACATTTGACCATAATCGGGCTTTCTTTATAGCATTTTGTTCGGGGAGGTCCCCGAACGAGCTGACAATTTTATTCCGCACCCCCGCAAACACATCTCTCACTCTCTGAGGGACATGAATGGTTTCTATGTTATATAGTGGCTCCCCAATTCCGGATAAGCCAGACATAGAAAGAGATAGCCACCCTTCATTTGAGGTATATGGCCAGCCCTCATGGCTGTTAATACGCTGGTGACCTCGAGCGATTGTTGCCGATTTTACTGATTCTACCGCTCTTGTTGAGTATGTTGATCATTATGATGTTTATCTAAAGACAGTGGTAGGACAATGTGCATTGTATCAACTGGTCGCGGCACTCGTAGCAGTCCGGAGAGAGACATGCTGTTTTCGTCATTTTCACTACGACAAATTCGCTTCGAAGAAGGTACATTTTCGCCAGGTGCCGCATCTCTTTTTCTCCAACGATATACCTCGGTCGAGCATTTAATTGGATCCACTTCAACTCACACCGCACCTCCTTGGTCTGATATTGGATCAGTAACACCTGTCGGACTGCCTTTATTGCCGCTAGTCACATTGGGTCCTTAAGCATTCTCTTTGTTGCGGTTGTCTTTCTCAGAGTGTTGGTAGATACGGTGCAATGATCCCGAAGGTTGCTGTAATGGTATTAGGTTTGTTACTTAAACGAGAACGACAACAGAACAATAGTGACAATAACTCGGGCAACTCGCCGATTCAGGATCGTGAATATCGCCAGTCTCTACCCCCCTGCAGGGCTTGATACATAAACTTGATGTTCAGATTCGATAGTAGTCTGCACAAAGATTACATTAGTATCATCTCTAATACATCTATGAATCGACCAAACATTAAAGGGGACGGAAGAAGAACAGAGTGAACACTCTGACACCAACAGTATATGTATTTATACATACAAACATATAATTTAAAAATATACACATATGTTTTTCATTAGAAGACAATACAGATAAGACTACAATAATAATAA